GTGGATATTAAGTGCCCTGAGCAGTCACTTGGTCAACTATTTTATTAGCAATGATGCAGTAAAATTCTAACAGTCCTTTTATTTTATCTTGCTGCTGCTAAGCTGTTACCCTTCCACATTAACACACTGTAGATGTTGACATGCAGGTAATAAATACAGTGCTTGGACAGTGATGGAGAAAGTGACTGAACACTCAACCTGCTCTGTCTGTAAGATGGTTACTTACAGAATAGTGCAGTGGTTTGTTAACTTGCCTGTCTGGGTCGTCATGCTTTGAACGGTAGCACTGAAGAGTGATTTTTATTTCCACAATTACAACTGATAGTGATGGCAACTGGCCTTTCATGGAATGTAGGACACAAGTGCTGGTCCAGAAAGCCAAGGAGGAGTGGATGGGAGGAAGACAGTGTTGTATGGAAGTGTAGAAACATCTGGATCTTTAAGGGAAGTAGCTTTCACATTGTTATCATCAATGTGTGCACTCATTCTGTGTATACTCTTCCAGAACCTGATACTCGCACCCAAGAGTGCATGGAAGGTATTTTAGAAAAGCTGCACCAGTAGTTGTGGCCTATTCTTACCATCGCCTTTCTTCCTTAAGTACAAGGGGGCATGGAAGTCATAAGGCACAGGCTTTGGCTGAAACATTGTGTTGGAGGAGTCGAGAGGTGACTGCACGAGAGTTCATGTGTACAGTAGGAGATACTTTATTCGCCTTTTAGATGTGCTCATGTGTGTGTGCTGCGGTAAAAATTGTGTGCCTGGAACTGTCCAACCTGGGCTGATGCTCAAACCATGACTTTTTCCTGCATAGTGTACTGCTAGGTAAGACCTGTCATTTCCAGCTCTCCACAATGTTCTAGTGGTTTGAGACACTCTGGAGCGTGGACCAGCTGATTCTGATGATGCTGCATGTACAGAATGGCAAATACAAAATACTGTGAGCTTTTGCTGCAACTGAAGCTTTTTGCGTGTGTACCTTCATCCCACCCCATGAATGGACAGCAAACTATTAAGTGACATGATTTTAGACTTACTATGCCAGTGGGTCTTTCACAAACACTTCTGGCTTTATATCAAAGTATTATGAACACAAGGCAAGCAGTAGTGAAAGTCTGAGCAATGAAGGTTCAGTGGAGAATTAGTGAGTGGTAGCATTGTGGTTAGGCAGTTAGGTAGAACAAAATTAAACCGGAATTTTTCTTCTCACCCCTTTTCCCTGTTGCTAACAGCTTAACTCCCCTCTGTCAATGTGAAATGAAGCAGAGGAGGGATGGTTGATCATATCTCTCTCGGCAGCTCAGGTGTATAACACAGAGGTTAGTTCAGCAACTATAGGTGTGTATTGTGTCACTTGACAGAGTGCTGGAATTTCTGCTGTAGAGATGAGTGTGTTCACAGAGCTGCTGGCAAGGGAAGCAGGATCTGTGTCCTTGCTTGCTTAGCACAAGCCCTGCTTTTTGAAGTGTCAGGCATAATGAAGTTGCTGTCAGAGGGCTTTTTTAAAACTGTTGTGACTCTTTGAAAAAGGCGTATTGTAACTTGATTAGCTTGAAAAGTCTAATTAGATGGCTTATTGTCTAGAAATAGCATCTTTCACTAAATTCCAAAAGACATTGCAGTGAAAATCGTAGGTTTGTAGCCGTAGTTCTGAATGTAAACTCTGTTGAGCTCCAAAGGTGACTTTCTTTACTTTCAGATATAAGGCTTGCTGGGTGGTTTTTTTTTTCTGTGTATTTTAATTTGGAGAAGGTTAAGATGAGGGTACCTGGAGTGCTGTGTTTGGCGTCTGTAGTCTACAGCGTTGGTCTGTGTTTGATAGTGTTCCTGTCTGTGTCAGCAGGATCACCTAGGAATACGGTTTCGGTGCAGGCACTCTGGGATGGTGCTGTAGATGTATGTCTAGAGGCCCTCTGAAGCAAAGGTAGAATACAGAATCAATTTCTGCACAGTTCCCTCGATGTTCACTGTAAGCGCACAGACCCACCTTCTAAAGGTGCGATACTGGCAGAGGGCCCATGAGCACCATTAGCCTCCTCACGTTTTAATATGGGGCCTTCTGCCACTGCTTATGACCAGATTTGCTTCTTCTGTGACTAGAAATCTACCAGTTCCAGTCTTGAAACATCATGCTCCTTCTAGATCTAAAAATCTGGAGGTCTCAAAAGCACAGAAACCTACACTTACAAAAATAACCTGCTGGTGATGTTGCCAACACAGGGTCTCACCTGCAGGTATCAGTTTTACATGGCAGGGAAAGAAATAGCTGTAAGAAACACTGCTGTTGCCTTGACCTTGAGGAAGCCTATTTAACTTCTCAAATCTAACTGGGAGTGCTAGAAATAACTGTGATCCACCAACGGAAGAGTGTTGGTGTGGCAAAAGCTGGGGTACCTCTTTCTTTTGGTGGAGGCTGTGTTCCACAGAGTGCAGTTCAGGAGGTGCTTGGTTTGGTTTAGTTTTTTTTTTCCTCTTGTCATCACAAAACCTTCTTTTGGAAAGTTTATCCTCGATGGTAGTAATGCTGGTTGGTAAGACTGGATGACTGGGATCTAGCAAGGTAGCAAGGTGTACAGCTCTCTGTTCCCCTGCTGCTGCTGCAAGGGTTAACAGGTTCTGTTTCTTATGTGGTGGCATGTGTGTGAGGGGACTGTGCATGATCATAGAATAGTCTGTGTTGGAAGAGACCTTCAAAGCTCATCTAACCCAAACCCCCTCCAATGAGCATGGGCACCTTCAAGTAGATGTGCACCTCATTCCTCCGCTCCTGCTAGCAAATTAGTATTCATTGTTGTTGACCTTTAATCTTATTTATTGTTTACCTAGTGGGTCTAATCAAGTCCTTTTGCTGAGTTGTAACTCGAGATTGTCTCGCCTTGCTTCTCGCTGCTGGAGTGTAACTCATCAGGAATGTTTTTCCTGCCCTTCAGGTGCTGTCAGGCCAGTTGAGTTGAGCAGTCGTGTCTGCATCACTGCTAAGGGCTGTGAAAAACCCTAATGAAGCTCAAGTGATTCTGTAACAAAATTTAAGCTTTTCCCCCAAAACCTGACACTTGAACCCATGGGAACATAATCAACCTTGCTCAGATAGAATCCACGGTAAGAGCATTGTGTTAAAAATAATGGAAAGGAGTGAATGTCTCAAGTACAGAACTGGCTCTGGGTGGGCATGGAGGGAAGAAATGCAACACGTGAGTCCCATCACGCTGTAGAAGAATTGTGTCCCAGGTTGGATGGCGACTTCTGTTAAAATCCAACTTTATTATTTAGTTGAAAGGAGACTGTAGTACTTTTTTTTTTTTTTTTTTTTTTTTTTACTTTATCAGTTTTGGGGTTTTGACAGAAAAAGGTAATTTTGAAGTGTTTTTTGAGTGCATGAGTGGTACAGAACCAGAACATTTCATCTAGCACTTGTGTCCCTGTTTAAAACACATCTCTGAAGGCTCAAAACAGCTTTAGTGAGAGTGTGTTCTTAATTGTGGGGCTCCCGACCTTCAGGGCAGCTCCCAGGTACATTTAAGGCAGCCTCTCTGCTCAGAGGCCAGACCAGCCTCGCTTCCCCGGCTTGGGTGGACAGAGGGGATCCGAATCACACCTGATCAGGAGAGAGTTGAGCTGGCACCGCTGCTCCTCCTGTGCTGGTGGAATCCGGCGTCCACCCATCGAGTGCCACCGGTGTGGGGCAGGGAGTGGGAATAATGTGTTGCCACTTGCTGGCCAGGGGCAGATGGCTGTTTTCTCCTTCCACAACACTCCAGTTTCATTCCATAGCTGACCGAAAGCAAAAGATCCCTTCCTGGCATCTCCCAAATCCCACCTCACCGCCTCCCTGTGTTTAGTGATTTGGAGCGCTGGTGTAGCTCTTGCCTTGGGGAATACTGAGCTAGGGCAAAGGGATGCTCGTGCTGAGGTGATCAGAGGCTGGGAATAACACTTTTATTGGGCTCGGCAGCATCCCAGAGAGCTGGGAGCCAGGATTTATGGGAAACCAAACCAGACGCAGTGGGGATTCCTGTTGTACAGCAGAAGCTGTTTGAACTTAGTCTCTTTCTTAATTATGATTTTCATATGTGATATTAACGAGACCTTTTCTGTACCTTGTTTCCCCTCGCTGTGTATAAATCCCAGCCACTCCTTTCGGGTTGTTTTGGGTTTGGTTTTCGTTGGGTTTTTTTTTGTTTTTTTACATGTCCATGCTGTGTAATTTTGAGACGTTACCGAGATTCTGAACATTATAATAATAATAATAATGTGCGTTCCTTTTGTTTGTTTTCTGTACAGATGAAACAGGAGAATTTAATAAAAAGCGTCTGCAGGTTTTTTACTTGTTTGTCGTTTACTCCTGAGGGCGCGCGCGCCCCTCCCGGGGGCGGGGCCCCTCCAAGCCACGTCCCCTCCGTCCCCCCTTCGGGCTCCACCCCCCTCCCGGGGCGGGTGACGAGGCGCGCAGGGGCGGGTTGTCGCGCTGCGGCTAGCGGCCGTAAAGCGCGGAAGGTCAGTGCGTCTTCCCCCCCCCCCCACACCGCTTCAGGTGAGCTGGCGCGGCCTCCGCCGTTCCTCCGGCCCCGCTCCTCCTCCTCCTCTTCCTCCTCCTACTCTTCCTCCTCCTCCTCCACCTTCTCCAGCCTGCCGCGGGGCCGGGAATGCGGCGCAGGAGAGCAGGCCGAGCCCCCCCCTTTCCGTCCTGGGAACCGTTGCCGTGAGGGTCAGGGCGGGCAGCGTGGCGGCCCGTCTGGCTGTGCCGTCCTCCCCACACGGGTCGGTGAGGAGGCACCAACCTGCAGCACGGTGTTAGGGACATGGGCTGAGAGCTCAGTGGTGGTACCGCAGTCAGCGGCCCTGGGAGGTGTAGGGGGAGAGCTCAGGGTGTCGGAGAAAGCCTCTGCTGCTCCTCGCTGTGCTTACTGTGACCGGACTCTGTGTCCTGCCTGAGGTAAAGGCCTGACAACGTTCATAACAAAGCTTGCTCGCGCCCTGTTACCCTTATAAAAGGGTTCAGAGCATGTTCCGTGCCTGCTGGCTTGCACTGCTCTACCTGTTGTTGGGGTGACAGCGTCCTCAGTGTTATTTTCCGGTTTTCATCTGGTTCTTTGCTCATTGTTGAGATATGCAGATGTCAGAAACAAAGGTATAATGCTCTGTGCCCATTATACAATCTTAAGTTGAAACCTTAATAGCAATGCTATTGTTTCAGGACTGACTAACTGCTCTTCTGTTGGTTTACTTACCAGCTTTCCCATGTTCTACTGGGTGCACCACGTGATGTTTTCTACTGCCAGACTTGTATATAATAAGAAAAGTGGTAATGTGATTCTCATCTTTTTCCTTCTAGAAGAAGTGGTCCTGAGCTAATGTCTGGACACATCTAGGTGGTACTTCAAGAAAACTGGCAAACAGCTGCCAGGATGTTTCTCCGGTTGCTGTCAGATATCCACTGGCGGGCGGCTAACCCAAAATGGAGAAGAATGACCTGCACCCGGCAAAGCACCTCAAATGCAGCAGAACCTCACCAGGTTGCCTTGCCAGCCCAGGCGCAGGTTGTCATCTGTGGTGGTGGAATCATGGGCACCTCCGTGGCATACCACCTTTCCAAGATGGGTTGGAAGGACATAGTCTTACTTGAGCAGGGCAGGTAAGGATTTCTGGTAACAAAACTCAGCAAACAGGACGTCCATGCACAGGAGCATCTGCTGCCATGTGTTATTTTTGCCTCTTCATCTGGACTTGCACCCGAGGAATAAAATTACATTGAATGCTGGTAACCACACTTTACTGCTTGTTCCAAGGCACAAGGCATATTTGCAAGGTGAAGCGTATCCCCTGTGCAATTGTATTGGGTTAGGTTTTGTGAAGAGCAAGATTCCCACAAAGCCACTTTGCCTCCTAGCAGGATGGGGGAGTAAGCAGGCTGAGAAAGCTCATGGATCGAGATAAAGACAGAAATATCTTACCCTTCTGCTGTGGGCAGAACAGACTTGCCTTAGGGACAATCAGCTTAAAGTAATTAAATAATTACTTTATTTCATGCCCATTAAAATAGAGTCAGGTTGTGAGAAACAAACCAAAGATTAAAATGCCGCTTTTCCTATCCCATGCTCAACTTCACTCCTGCACTTCAGGGTCTTCTGTCCAGTCTAAGAAGTGCGGGGGGTGACGGATGGGGTATGGTCATGTTGGCCTCCAGCACAGGTCCTCCATGGGATGTGGTTCCTGTCAGGAGAACTCTGCCCTGGCATATGTTTTCCATGGACAGTTCCTTTGGGAGATATCCATCTGCTCTGGCACATTTGCAGGTAATGTAAAACACACTGCAGCTGGCAAAAATGGACCATTTTAGGAGAACTAAAACTCTGTGTAAATCACCCAGCCCCTGTTGACCATCTCTAGAAACAGGATGCAGTACACATATGAAGTTTTAGGCTACTAGCAAAGCTCACAAGAAATTGTGGGGGATGTGGAGGTTATAAGCAGACATCACTAGAACACCATGCTGTGTGTGGCTAAATGCTCAGGTTATCTAGTTTGTTGCAGGACATGGTGCCTGTCTGTAAACAGCCAAGGCAGTTACAGATTGGCCAAGTAAGAGTCACTGTGCTGTCCTTGGTGAGTTGGATCTGCAGTCTACGGCAGAGTGTGGAGATCCTGTGGAAAGCTGACTGGACAGCTCTTACCTGTTGTTTAGATTTCTGTTTGAGAGGTAGATTTGTATTGTTTTCATTTAGATTTCTGTTTCAGAGGTAGATTTGTATTGTTTTCATTTGTATTGCTTTCATTTCGCTTCCTTTGGAGTGAAATAAGGTGCTAGGCTTCATTTGTAATGGAATGTAATCCACCCTTGTAGTGGGGTCTGAATACCCCATGACATATCTTCATGGAGTTAAATGCTATATGAGCTCCGTTTATGTGCATGCTCAAGGAAAAAGAACAGTATTGCGCTAGCAGAAGCATCTCATGTGAAGCACAGAAGTGAAGTCTTGCTTCAGCTGTTTTGGTTGTCACCAAGTGGGGATACACCTTACTTAGCTGTTTCTTTATTGGAATTGCTGAGAAGGTATAGACACCATAGGCCAAAAGCAGTCTTGTCAAAGGCTTTTGTAGGTAAGTGGAAAACAGCAGGATTGCTTTAGCAGCAGGAAAGATGACTTGAAGTATTGTGGAAGCAGATTGCAAGGGAGATGCTGTTTTATTTTCCCCTGCCTCTGCTGCAGGGAGTTTTTAATAGGTTTCTGTCTTTACAGCGGCCCTTCACCAATAGGTGGATGAACAGTGGTTTAAGGGACAGTTTAAAAAGGGGTAAGAAGTAGGTGTACCTGTCTGGCAGTTACTACACAGTAAGAGGGACTTGTTCTTACTGTAAACGGCAAAGATGGAAGACACAAGTCCAAGTTAATTTTTATTTGAGGGGACTCCTGCTTTGCAGAAACAAAGGATCAGGTAGGCAGGTCGACTTCAGCATAAGGTAGTATTTAATAATAATTGCTTGATGCAATCCAGCAGTCATCAGTTAGGACTCATAGCAACGACATGCTGCCACTATTGCTGCTGCATGTGTGCATATTGCACTGCTGCAGGGTTCTGGTAACTGACTCATCTTACTTTATCATCATTACTCATCATCACTGATTTAAAACTTTCTTTTAAATTTAAAGCAACAGTGTTTAGGAGTGAAGGGAGAGTCCATAGCAGTAAACTGTGATAGCATCGTATGTGAGCAGACTGCTGACCCCAGGTGAAACAAACATATGAAACATATGGAGCAGGTTTCCCAGAGAAGCTGTGGCTGCCCCATCGCTGGTAGTGTTCAAGGCCAGGTTGGTTGGGGCTTGGAGCAACCTGGTCTAGTGGAAGGTCTCCCTGCCCATGGCAGGGGGTTCGAACTGGGTGAGTTTTAAGGTCCCTTTCCACCTAAACCAGTCCAGGATTTGCAAACCTCAGTCTTTGCTCAATTTCAAAATACTCCTGGAAATTCACTTTGATTTTCCCATCTGGACTGTTCAAAATAGTTGGCAAAGCTTCCCAGTGACTCCTCCCAACCACTGGAAGGGTTGAGACATGGTGAGAAACTGTAGATCCCCACATGGGTAGCAGACTAGTCTAGGAATCTGTGATTCTTTGAAAACTTTCAGAGTTTAGGACTAGTTAAAGAGAAATGGTTTTGGAAAACAGTGCATTTTCAAAAGTGAACTAAAGGAATCCTAGAGGCTGCATTATCCTTCCATCATCCAACTTACAGCCTTTGGTCTGATGTGTTTGGGGGCAAGCTTGCTGTCTGGTCTGTGCTGTCAGCAGAGCTGTTGGAGCAGCAGGGTGGAGGGGGTCTCAGCTCGCTGCCTGCCAGCCAGCTGAGGCCTTCTGAGCGACTTCTCTTGCAGGTTAGCTGCTGGTACCACTCGCTTCTGTGCTGGCATTGTGAGCACAGCCAGACAGGCGTCGATTGAGCTGAAGATGGCAGACTATTCAAACAAGCTCTACCAGCAGCTGGAACAAGAGACAGGAGTACAAACAGGTACTGAAAGTGCGATTCTTGGGTCATCTTTGGGAAACAGAATCAAGGTATTGATGATGAAATACAAATGTAGTTCTAAAGAATCTTAAAGGTTTGTTGGTTCGTGTTCAAAAACGATACATTTGGACTGAATCAGGTGTGAATGGATGTCATTAATCAGAAGAGTGGGAAGAAGGGTGTTGGACGGGTGGAAGGCAGACATCCCGCAAACACTGTCAGTTCTTTTGTTTCCTGTAACTTGGCCAAGTGTAGGTGAATTTTCACAAGGATGCTGAAAAGTATATTGCAGTGACAGGAGCAAATGGTCCATTTTCTGCACCAGTTCACTTCTCAGAAAGAGAAGGTGGTTAATGGAAGCACTAAAGCAGGGTGTCTTGCTCCCCTCTCACTCTAAAAATAAGGAGAAAGCAGGTGTGTGAAAGAAGAGTGAGAGAATAAGGAAATTCTCCCTTTTCCCTCCAAAATGTTCAGGCATGTATCTGATAGGAAGAACCTGGTCACTGAACATTTTCTGCTGACAAGGACTTCTGATATATGTCAGACTTGACAAAGATTAATAACTGTGCCTCTAATTAAGTTTAGTATTAATCTGTCAGGTTGCCCAGAGAAGCTGTGGCTGCCCATCCCTGGGCAGGTTGGACACAGCTTGGAGCAACCTGGTCTGGTGGAAGGTGTCCCTGCCCCTGACAGGGGGTTGGAACTGTATGAGCTTTCGGGTCCCTTCCAACCCAAACCATCCTATGATTCTTTTGCTTGTGGTGAGATCACAAAATGTCAGTGTTCAGTTGTCAAGGATTTATTCTTCTGAGTAGTTACTACATCACATTTTTGCCAGTAACGTCTCTCTCTTTTAATAGGTACTATGTGTGAAGTTTAGGATTTTTAATAACATGACTAAATGTAATAGAATGAGACCACAAATCAGGATTAAATTGGATTTTTTTTATTTTTTTTTATTTTAGAGGTTGACTAATGCAGCTTTTTAATTATTAGCTGTACAGTGTTTAAAATTATTGAAGGATCTGGAATTTCCAGGCTCCTGAGTAGTGGAAGCAATGGCTCTGCCATTAGATTAAAGCAATGGGACTGGGATGAAAAAGAGTTCAAGATCCTGTCCAGATCTGACTTGACTTTGGTCGTTGTTATAGGGTACGTGAAGACAGGCTCCATTTCACTGGCTCAAACTCAGGATCGACTAATTTCTCTGAAACGCATTGCTTCATCACTGAAGTACGTATAAGCAGGAAGTATAACTGATCTCAAACTTGCACCAGCTCTCCTTGAAGACTAATGACGGCATTTTTCTTATGTCCCATGGCAGTGTAATGGGGATACCTTGTGAAATTATAACCCCAAAGAAAGTGGCACAACTCCACCCACTGATCAACATCCATGACCTTGTGGGGGCCATGTATGTGCCAGAGGATGCTCTCGTGTCATCTGCCAGTGTGAGTCTGGCTCTGGCAACAGCTGCCTCACGGAATGGTATGAGGTTTTTTTTATCTATAGAGTGCTCTCCTGCATGGTAGTTACCTTATTTTCATAAAAGAAAATTATGTTTTGCATCTCTTGGTATTCTGACTTGAGCACTGAAGACCAAAACTTGGTTGTTTCTTTCAGGTTCAGATACTTTTAAATTGTGTTTTTCCTCAGAATACAATCTGATTTTTCTTTTTTTTTTTTTTTTAACATACTGAATCTTTACAGATCTGCTATGGTAAATCAAGCACCAGTTTGTTGTCCTTAGTGGTTGTATATTTCTCTAAGTAAGGACACACTCTTTTATGATAAAAATAAAGGTCAGGTCCTTTGTATGACCTTACTCAAAATTACAGATCAAAAGAGTGTTCACAAATCATGTAGACAAGCCCTCAGTGACATGGCTTAGTGGTGGCCTTGGCAGCACTGGGGGAATGGTTGGAGTTGATGATCTTAAAGGTTTTTTTCAACTTAATTGATTCTATGATTCTATAATTATATACAAATAAAAGGTTGTGCCGAAGTCCATGTGGAATATTTCATCGGGTACATAGGCTTTAGAAATGGCTTTGGAAGTGTAGTTGTAAATGCTGTTTGCCCAGTATTTTGTCGAATTTGGAGTAGTCTAAAAATGGGAGAAAGGTTAGATACAATAACAGTGATAAACGTCATTAAGGATGAAAGTCCATCAGGTTGGAAGAAGCTACTTGGGAAAATACCTTTCTCCATTTCTTTTAGTTGAGCTTTTTTTGTGTACTGTTAATTGATTATTTTTTTTTTCCCCAAAATAACTGATTTTCTTCAAAATAACGAGTCTTGCCATCTGAAACTACAGACTTTGTTGCGTAAAGGAATTGTAATGAAAAGAAATCCATAGCTGAGACTCCTTCTTTTTTTCGATCTTGTGGATACCAGGGTGTTTTTATCAGAGGGGAAAAAGCACTGTAACTGTTCATCATCTCGGCCTTTAAATTATGTACAATTTGGGTGCCTGATATTTTACCAGTAACAGGGTTTCACTTAAGAATTACTAAGTCAAGAATAAAAATCATGCCCTAAAGAGAAAATTAAGTATGTAGGTTAGGTTTAAGGGTTTCACATTAGCAGCTGGACACATACAAAGAAGGCTTGTGGTTTACTGACCTTCTGATGTTCACTTCAGGTGTCCAGATCCATGAAAGGACGAGCGTCAGTCATGTCACAGTCCAGAAGGGTCGTGTGACTGCCATTGAGACCGACAGAGGACAGATCAAATGCCAGTACTTTGTCAACTGTGCTGGCCAGGTTGAATTACTGAAATCTGTCTTTTTGTGTTTGCTTAAGGACACATGCACTTCCCTCAGTTGGTTTTTTTGTTTTGTGTTTATTTTCCCCTTTTTATGTTTCGTGTTTGGCTTAGTTTACTGGAGTAGATCACAGTCATGTTATTCAGCTTCTCAGACCAGCAGGGGTATGAAGGAGGAGAACAGTGTTTTGCTCTCTGCTTGTTACCAAAGGCTGGATGTTAACTTGCTAAGGAGCACCCTGCAACTTGTTGGTACAACTCTGCCAATGGTCTCTCTCCTGGGCGGTGTGCCCTTCTTCTGGGAAGAATTTTGTTGTGGCTATTAGTGAGAAAGTTAAACCTCTACCCTTCTCTCTCCCTCCTGCCCCCAAAATTCCTTTTGTTTTCTTTTTACTTAGTGTCCTGTCCTTTCCACTGTGAAATTACATCTGATAGTTGCTGTTTCTCAACTAGCAGCTGGCTGTCTTGATGGTATGGGTTTTAGCAGTACAAGCACCTAAATCCCAATTATTCTGCTTCTAGAGGCTGGCCTTAGCATTGGCTTTGTTATACAGATCTTGTTTTGCTTTTGTATTGTAAGTTGATGCTACTTAGTCTTGAATCAGGGCCCCACTTTTTCTAGCTCTCGTGTGAGGAACAGAAAAACAACCTTTATCCTAAATAATTCAGATCCTAAGAGAGAAAAAATCTGTATCTGTTTATGGTTTAGAGGACTTGAACCAAATCTTACATAGTCTTACATGAAAGCAAACTCACAGAGGTGACCCGTGCTTTTGTCCTGCCTTTTCTATTGGAGTTAGTTTTTTTGTTTTGTGTTCTAACCTGCACTTGTTTTTATTTCAGTGGGCCTATGAGTTGGGCCATGCTGCAGAGGAAGCAGTCAATATCCCACTCCATGCCTGTGAACACTTCTACATCCTGACGCATCCTTTGAATGAGCCTCTCTCAAGCAACTTACCAAGTAAGTCTTCTTCAGCAATACCTCACTTTTCTCCATGAATTATACCTGCCTTTCCAAGGGGGCATCTAGTTTATGATAAAAAGGCCAACTAATGGCTGTCGGTTCTCAGCTCATCTGGGATTGTGAGGTGCATTCTAGCTGAATTGCTCTAGCTATCCTCTTTCAGTGGTAGAAGGAATCTCTTGCCTTATTCTTGGAAAAGCTTTTGTCGCAGAAATTGATTTTCACAGTTTGTCAGCTTAGCAGGAGAATGGTCATGGCTCTGGATTCACTAGTAGGTGTGTCTGAGACTTGGATTGTTGCATCTGTGGGCTGGGGAGGGTGCTAGCCTTGGCACTGTGTTTTCCTTACAGGCTGCTGTCCCTAAAGGGCCCATCTATTCCTTTCCTTCAGCTGAAACTAAGGCTTTACAATGGCATTTACATGTCTGTGAACTGCAGGGGCAACCAGACACTTGAGGTCGTTGCTCCTCCCCCATATTCTGGCTTTTCAGTCTCTTAAAGAAAAGCCCCTGTGTTTAAAAACTGTGGTTGGGAAGTAGGAAGCTTTGCTTATTTACTCAATTGTTAGCAGGAGTTTCTGCTTCTAGTGATTAATGTATATATTCTCCAGGGATTTCCCCTTTCTAACCAGAGTCCCCAGGTGCTTCACTTAACTGAGTAATAACAACAAAACTTACTAGCACATACATACATACATATATATGTAGTGTGTGTATATATACACACACACACACACACACACACAACTTTCCTGTACAGGGAAAAGATTGCTATGGAACATGTCAGCTGGTATATCATAAATGCTTTAAGCTGACTACCACTGGAGGAAGCAATCCAGACTTGACTCTGTGTCCTCACCTCAGTGCTGCTCACTTTCTTTGTGCTGGTGACATGCAGTAAACTGGATGAGTGATGCATGCCCATTAAAATTAACTGTTCCTAAAATTAACTAGAAGAGGGGGAAGGCAGGACATCTCTTGGTGGAAGGTCTGGTCTTGGGTGCAGTACCAGTGTAACTAAGCCAGTATATCATAGCTTATCAGTGCCACAAGGGATCTGTCTCCCTCTTGTGTCCTCCCACTCATGGTAACACTGTTCTGCCAGCTTGGGTGCTTTTCAGGTTCAGTTCAGTTTACTCTGCTGCCCAAAAGTTAGCATGCATGGTTGTGGTGGGAGTTGATGCTGGTTTGGTAATCTGTACTGGCCCGCCAAGGTGTCATGTGAGAACCAGAATGGTGTGACATTGTGGGGCTGGGGGACTGAGGTTGACCCTTCTCATGTCAGGAGGTGGCTTGGCCCAGCTAGCAGATGGGGTCTGGTGGCATGGAACAACAGCCCAAGACAGCTATCTCTTCTCTCAGTTCTTTCCCACCTGTTTTCTTTCCTCTGCAGCGGTCGTAGACCCAGATGGCAGGATCTACATACGCAACTGGCAAGGTGGCATCCTCTCAGGCGGCTTTGAAAAAAACCCCAAACCTCTCTTCACAGAAGGACGGAACCAGCTGGAGATTCACAACCTCCAAGAAGACTGGGATCATTTTGGTATGTTAGGGAAGAAAGATTCCCACAGCAGTGAAACACCTGGCTTCAGCAGGAGGCAGAGTTGGCAACAATGCAGGCTGTTGTTGACCAGCCAGTGTGTGTGTCTGCCTTCACCTGAAAGGTGTGGGAAAGATGAATGTTCTCTCAGATTCATTTTTCTCTTCATTTGTCAGTAATTTGCACAGAACTCCTTTATCAAGGACTACCTTAATATCTGTCTAGTGTTTAAAAACACCCACTAACCCCCAGCACATACTAATTTCCTATAGTGCAGCAAGGTGCTACATAAACTTTCCATCACTCTTCCATTTAATTTGATTTTTGACTGTCAGGGCCACATGCTGCTCTTCTTGTGACGCTGGACATCAACACTGTTGACCTGCCACGTAGCTGTGGTATTTTGTTTCTGCAGCTCTCTTCAGTACTGGCTGCCAAGTGCATTTCCATCAGTGACAGTTGCTTTGTGGACAGAACTTGGTATTATTCCTTCCCAGACTTCTTACCACCATTGACAGTGGTGGTTTATTACATTCTGTCTTTCTCTTCCCATTTTATTTCTGTTCTTATATTTTGTGTGTACTTTGACACAGAGGGCTCTTTCTGTAGGAAAAAAATATAGCATGGTCGAGTTGGTGTTTTTTCCCTCTCTTATGCCTGGTAAGTTTGTGCTCTGTCATTTTCAAATTTGCCTTTTTTCAGGGATTCAGTTTTCCCTTGTGAAGGCACATGCCTCTGTATGTGATTCTAGGCATGGATGGATTATCACTGATTCCTTTCTGCAGTGGTATTACGTTCTTCCAGCTATTCCCCAGGTTAAAATGATTAATTTTACTTTCATTTCTGTGAGATACTGTATTCATCCAGGGGGTGGGGCCAAGGTGGGGTGCAGTTTTGTGCTGGCATATGCTAAAGGGTTTTAGATCTTGTAGGACTACAGATCTTCCTTGATGATACTGGCTTCACTAATGAGTTGATCGACCTCTGCCCCTTCTTTGTCTTTGATTTTCTTGGTACTGCTGAACTGAAAAGGCACTGCTTGCTGGCACCCACAAATTGCCCAAGTTTCGGAAGCAACTGCATTCTATATTCTAGCATTACCTTTTTATCAGTTCAAACATACTGAACAGTTGAGCAGAGTCAGAGCTTACTCAGCTAGTATTTGATCCTTTTCTAGGGCTGCAGTTGCTGTGGCTTGAGCTCTTGTGCTACTGCTTTGATCTCTTTCGCTGAAACACCATTTGATTTTAAAATAGCCTGTAGAGTTGCTTAGATATTGGGCTGGATACAAGAATAAATCTAACTAATCCCTCTTTATATCGATAAGAAAAAATATCTGTAGCTAAAGCTCTCATTCTGGAATTCTAATGCGTGAAAGAAGAGAAAGTGCAGGTCAGAAAGATTGGTTTTGTTTGTAATTTCTTAGATAATGTGAAATCTTATTACTGCTTATGTAAAGTGAGGAGTAGTATTAATGCTGAATCTTGAGGGCTTTTACCTTCAGCACTTTGCAGAGGTAAGTTGTGGTGACAAGAAAAACAAGACCAGATAGCCTATCCCTTTATTAACACTCGCAAATGTCAGACTGTGGAGAATTACCAAAGGACCTTACCAGCGTGACTGGGCAATGAAGTGGCAAGGAAATTCAATGAGGATAAATGTGAAATGACGCAAGTCCAGGGGGTAGGTGTGAGTACCATACAAAATGATGGGCTTTGAACTGACCTTGAGGTTGTAGTAGTTCTGTGAAGACATCAGCTCAGTAGCACTTAAAGCAAAAGACAAGTTAGGAATTATTAAGAAAGGAGCAGAAAACACAGTCATACAACACTCAGTCCTTTGTTTGCCAGACACCAGTTGTTGTTCTAGGCTGCCTTTCTCCAGAGGGCATTGTGTGACCAGAGAAGGCCTGGTGAGGGGCTGCAAGAGGCTGAGCAAAGCTTGGAAGCGTTTCCAAGGAAAGAATGTCTGAGTGGGCTGAGGAAAAGAGATGACAGAAGGGAAATAGATGGAGGTCTAAGAAATCTTGAATGAGATGGACTTGATGGAGGGGAATCTTATGCTTATTGTCTCTTCTGTTATGCCAGCTGGGAGGCATCAAAAAAAGTTAACTGAGCATGAATTTCAAAACAAAAGATGGTGATTCCTCATACAACAAATCTCTCAATACAACAAATCCTAAACATGTGGAAGTCCTTGGCGCAGTGCCTGTGGGGTGTTTTCATGACTTTGGGGAAGATGGGTCAAGTACTTAGAAGAGAGATTGAGTTCGGAGTTACTAAAAATGTAAAAGATACCAGGTTTTGAGGAAATCCTGAGCTGATAGGAAGTGGAGGCAGAGTGCATGGGACAAGCATCGTCTAGATTTGCGTGTTCTTGTTTCTTGCTAGATATCCAGTTGATGTCTGTTCCTGTTGTTTTCCCTAGCAAAACTGGACGCACTCTTGCAGTGTTGAGAACAATGCTGGACCCTAGGTCTGGACTGGTATGGCTGCTGTTATGGTATGCTGAGGGATCTGTTTCAAGTAGTTGGTTCCAGCAGGTTAATGTTTTGTCCTGTGACTGTATTGAAACACAGAAGCAATCTCCATCTGTTCAGATACTGACTCAGAACTGTGGTGCTGTCCGCTTCAAAGGTGAAGTAGCTGATGTGTCAAGACCAAAGGGTGTTACTTTCTGTCTTTTTTTTATTTGTCTCTAGAGCCACTTCTGGGTGCCCTTCTGCGCAGGATGCCAGATTTGGAGGCTCTGCAGATAATGCAGCTCGTGAACTGCCCAGAGTCCTTCACACCAGATATGCGATGTATCATGGGAGAGTCACCCACTGTTCAGGGCTACTTCGTTCTGGCTGGCATGAACTCAGCTGGTATCTCATATGGTGGGGGAGCAGGCAAGTAAGTAGTTTATGGCTGTTATCTGTTTAAGTATGGTTTTAGCCAAGAAAAGAGTGCTCCAATGGTCCTTCTGTGTAGAATATTCTTGGTCACTTCCCCTCCAACAAAGGCACCTCATCTGTTTCCAGCCTGAGTGAAAGAGTGGAGCTGTTGCCATGTTCTCATTATGTTCTCCTGTGTGTATTCCAAATCTCTGTCTCTCCTCAGGCATCACATCTCAGTGATCAGCAGCCTCCTGGGGATCAAGTGAACTTCCTTAGAATTAACTGGTTTTACCTACCAGGAAGAGAGAAAAGCTTAGCAAAGCATATATTCCCTTCTGTACTCTATGATTCCCTTTATTATCTGATTGAAGTCCTTAGATCATTCAGGTTGACACAGCAATTAATTTCTCTGAAAGCAAAGTGAGTCTGGTGCAGTCGAAGCACTGCATATGGGATGCCAGTGCTGCCAGTACTGTGAATTAATGACTGTCCTCTGCCAGTGTACTAAGAATGGAATAGTTTTCCCAGTAAAATTTAGTTCCTGTGTTCATGCAGACAGTTTGACAGGTGAAGAAGTGTGATCCCAGCAGCAAAATTACTTGCAGAATGATCGTCCCTCCCTCTGACTGCCATTTGGTTTTGGTGACCCAGCATCCCTTCTGCCATACAGCCTTCTGAACAAGCTGCTTATTTTTCATGTCAGGTCTTAGTATCTGTATTTGTCTCCACTAGTTTCTGTCGTCTAATAATTTAACTCACCAGGGAAGCAACTCATGATTTTTTTTTATGTGTCATGTGAAATACAGAGAATCTTTGCAGTGAGGTTCTCTTAAGAGTCAGAATAATTCGTGAAGCATTATTTGTTTGTTGCCACAGCCTTGAGACAAGCAGCTAAACTTCCTAATGTAACTTCTAATGATCAGTCTCAAACCCCTTTGTTTTTTTTTGTTTGCTGACTGTAAACATATCCTTCTGTTCTGCTTTGGCCTGAGCTGCGTATGTCCTGTAGCTTTGGAGCATGCCTTCCTCCTCCACTGCTGGAAGTGGAGCTAAACATAACTTGGCTGGCAGGTTGTGCTAAAGCGTATGCTGTCACTGGTGGTTTGTGGCTGAGCCTACACCAGGTACTAAAAAATCACAAAGCAGTTGACCTCCTAACTCCAACCTAAACATACTCAGTACCTTTTTTTGTAGCCTGACGATTTGTCTAGTGTCACTTAGGCTACCTGTCCAGGTGACTTCACTTACAATGTGTCAGTAACTGCTGCCATATATATTTGTTTTGGTTTAAGCCCAGCCTGTAACCGAGAACCACGCAGCCGCTCACTCACTCCCTGCCCTTGTTCCTCCCCGCCCTTGTTCCTCCCCCTGCTCCTGGAGGGATGGGGAGGAGAATGGAAAGAATGTAACTCCTGCGGGTTGAGATAAGAACAGTCCAGTAACTAAGGTATTACACAAACCACTGCTGCTACCACCAATAATAATGATAAGGGAAGTAATGAGGGGAGAGAATACCACCGCTCACCACCCGCCAACTGATACCCAGGCGATCTAGCCTTTCTCACAGTAAAGAATTTCTTCCTGATGTTAACGTGGAACCTTCTATGCTCCAGTTTACATCCATTGCCCCTTGTCCTATCACTGGATATCACTGAAAAAAGCCTAGCTCCGTCATCCTGACACCCACCCGTTACATATTTGTAAACACTGATGAGGTCACCTCTCAGTCTCCTCCAAGCTGAAGAGACCCAGCTCCTTCAGCCTTTCCCCATAAGGGAGGTGTTCCACTCCCCTAATCATCTTTGTGGCTCTGCGCTGGACTCTTTCAAGCAGTTCCCTGTCCTTCTTGAACTGAGGGGCCCAGAATTGGATGCAATATTCCAGATGCAGCCTCACCAAGGCAGAATAGAGGGGGAGGAGAATCTCTCTTGACCTACTAACCACACCCTTTCTAATGCACCCCAGGATGCCATTTGCCTTCTTGGCCACAAAGGCGCATTGCTGGCTCATGGTCATCCTCCTATCCACCAGGACCCCCAGGTCCCTTTCCCCTTCGCTACTTTCCAGCAGGTCAGTCCCCAACCTGTACTGGTACATGGGGTTGTTCTTCCCCAGATGCAAGACTCTACACTTGCCCTTGTTGAATTTCATCAAATTTCTCCCCGCCCAACTCTCCAGCCTGTCCAGGTCTCGCTGAATGGCAACACAGCCTTCTGGTGTGTCAGCCACTCCTCCCAGTTTAGTGTCATCAGCGAACTTGCTGAGAGTACACTCGGTTCCCTCATCCAGGTCGTTGATGAAAATATTAAACAGCACTGGTCCCAGCACCGACCCCTGAGGGACTCCACTAGTCACAGACCTCCAGCTAGATTCTGCACCATTGACCACAACTCTCTGCCTTCTTCCTTCCAACCAGTTCTTGATCCACCTCACTACTTGATCGTCAAGCCCACACTTCCTTAGCTTATCTGTGAGAATGCTGTGGGAGACAGTATCAAATGCCTTACTGAAATCAAGAAAAACCACATCTACTGCTCTACCATCATCCCTCCACCTAGTCACTTCCTCATAGAAGGCTATAAGGTTGGTCAAACATGACTTCCCCCTCATAAAACCATGTTGGCTGTTCTTAATAACCCCCTCATCCTTGATATGCCTAGAAATGGAGTCAAGAATAAGTTGTTCCACCACCTTTCCAGGGATGGAGGTAAGGCTGACCGGTCTATAATTACCCGGGTCCTCCTTCTTGCCCTTCTTACAGACTGGTGTGACATTTGCCATCCTCCAATCCTCAGGCACCTCTCCTGTTTCCCATGGCTTACCAAAGATGATGGAGAGTGGCCGAGCAATGACCTCCGCCAGCTCCCTCAGCACCCGTGGGTGTATTCCATCTGGACCCATCGATTTATAGATGTCCAGATTGCATAGCTGATCCCTAACCCAATCCTCATCTACCAAAGCAAACTCCTCCTTTGTCCTGACTCCTTCTGGGGCAATAGGAATCTGGGTCCCCCAGGGAGAGTCTGCAGGAGTAAAGACAGAGGCAAAGAAGGCATTCAGCACCTCTGCCTTCTTTATATCCTCTGTCTCCAGGGCACCCACCTCGTTCAGCAGTGGGCCTATATTGCCTCTTGTGTTAGTTTTATTTGCTATGTATTTGAAGAAGCCCTTTCTATTGTCCTTAACCTGACTAGCAAGATTAAGTTCCAAGGAGGCCTTAGCTGTCCTGATTGCCTCCCTACATCCTCTAACAACTGTCCTATATTCCTCCCAAGTGGCCAGCCCCTCTTTCCATAATCCATAGATTCTCCTTTTCCACTTGAGTTTGCCCAGCAGCTCCTTTTAACCATGCTAGTCTCCTAGCTCCCTTACTTGATTTCCTGACCATTGGGTCGCTTGGGACGCATATATATATATATACATATATATATATATATACTCATCCACCCACACACAAAGGGTGAGGTATCATTCCTGAGTCCATGGGCCAATCCCTGTAAAGCTGCTGAGTTCATCCGGTCCATGATGTCAGGCTCCATCTCTTGTAACAGTCTTTCAGAGTGGATTGACGCTGTGCAGTGTTGGATTGTTGCCTGCTGATGACACTGCGGAACTCATCACTGCTGAGCTCATCTGGTTTCATTAAAGTTCATTCTTTGTTGGGATGATGATCAGAGGGAAGTCAGGGCCAGCCACTGGTGACCTGAAGACATCTAGTTGGTGGGCTATAAAAGTGCTACATAGCAGGCAATAGCATATAATTGAGTTCATTGGCTGTTTTCCCCTAAAATCATATCCCCTTGAGGTACACATTGGACTTCCCCATCTTTGCACATTACCCCCCAAATGTATCCACGTCTGTGAGCAAAAACAATCCCACAAGTGGGTTTGCCTTTACGTGAAGAATGAATAACCGAGACTGTCTTCCCCAGCAAATTCTTTATGTGCACCACAGGAGCTTTATCCCCCTCTACAGTATGTGAAAGTTCTGACTGGGCTGGGCCAGCCCTGGTGGCAGATTCTCTAGTGTTGACCACCCAGGTGGCCTTTGGTGTGTATCCCGATGTTTGAAAGTTCCCCCACCCATTGCTCTCAGTGTAGTTTTTAACAGCCCATTGTACTGTTTGATTTTCCCAGAGGCTGGTGCATGGTAGGGGATGTGATGTACCCACTCAATGCCATGCTGTTCGGCCCAAGTGTCTATAAGGTTGTTCGGAAATGAGTCTCATTATCCGACTCCCTTCTCTCTGGGGTGCCATGTCGCCACAAAATCTCTTTCTCAAGGCCCAGGATAGTGTTCCGTGCAGTGGCATGGGGCACAGCTTATGTTTCCAGCCATCCGGTGGTTGCTTCCACTGTGGTAAGCACATGGCGCTTGCCTTGGCGGCTTGGTGGCAGTGTGATACAGTCAATCTGCCAGGCCTCCCCATATTTATACTTCAGCCATCGTCCTCCATACCAAAGAGGGTTTAACCATTTAGCTTGCTTAACTGCAGCATGTTACTCATTCGTGAATAACCTGGGCATAGTGTCCATTGTTAAGTCCACCCCTCAATCGTGAGCCCATCTGTATGTTGCATTTCTGCCCTGATGGCCTGAAGTGTCATGGGCCCACCAAGCCAAAAATAATTCACCCTTATGTTGCCAGTCTAAGTCCATCTGAGCCACTTCAATCTTAGCAGCTTTATTCACCTGTTGGTTGTTCTGGTGTTCCTCAGCGGCCCAACTCTTGGGTACATGAGCATCTGCATGGCGTACCTTCACCACCAGGTTCTGCATCTGGGCAGTGATATCTTTCCACAGTGCAGCAGCCCAGATAGGTTTACCTCTGCGTTGCCAGTTGCTCTGCTTCCATTACTGCAACCACCCCTACAGGGCGTTTGCCACTATCCATGAGTCAGTATAGAGAAAAAGTACTGGCCCCTTTTCTCATTCAGCAGTGTCCAGGGCCAGCTGGATGGCTTTCACCTCAGCAAACTGACTCAATTCACCCTCTCCTTCAGCAGTTTCTGCAACTTGTCGTTGAGGATTCCATACAGCTGCCTTCCATCTCCGATGCTTTCCCACATTATGGCAGGGCCCATCAGTGAACAAGGCATACTGCTTTCCACTTTCTGACAGTTTATTATATGCTTCAGCACGCATCACATCCTCCTCTGGTGACATTCCAAATCTTTGCCCTCTGGCCAGTCCATGATGACTTCTAGAATTCCTGGACGACTGGGATTTCCTGCTTGAGCTCATTGTGTAATTTGTGCAGGCCACTTACTCCATGTGGCATCGGTTGCATGATGTGTAGAGGAGACCCGACCTTTGAACATCCAGCCCAGCACGGGCAACCGGGGTGCCAGGAGGAGCTGTGCTTCAGTACCAGTCACTTCTGAAGCAGCTCAAACCTCTTCATAGACTGCCAGTGTCTCTTTTTCAGTTGGGGTATAGCTGGCCTCAGATCCTCTGTATCCCCAGCTCCAAAAGCCAAGGGGTCGGCCTGGAGTCTCCTTGGAGCTTTCTGCCAGAGGCTCCAGGTAGGACCATTCTCCCTGGCTGTGTGTAGAGCACATTTTTTACATCAGGCCTGGTCCAAACTGGACCAGGGGCTACTGCATGAACTATCTCTCGTTTAATTTGCTCAAAGGGTTGTTGTTGCTTAGGGCCCCATTTAAAATCTTTCTTCTTCCAGGTCACATGGTAGAGAGGGCTTACAACTGAACCGTAATTTGGGATGTGCATTCTCCAGAGCCCCACTGCACCCAAGAAAGCTTGTGTTTCTTTCTTATTAGCTTGTGGAGACATTGCTGTTATCTTGTTCATCACATCTGTAGGGATCTGGCGATGTCCATCTTGCCATTTTATTCCCAAAAATTGAATCTCCTGTGCAGGTCCCTTGACCTCACTCCATTTTATGTCAGAACTGGCTTTCAGCAGGATTTGGATTATTTTCCTCCCTTTCTCAAAGACTTCTTCTACTGTATCGCCCCACACAATAATGTCATCAATATATTGCAGATGTTCTGGAGCTTGCCCCTGTTCCAGTGCAGTCTGGATCAGTCCAGGGCAGATGGTAGGGCTGTGTTTTCAACCCTGGGGCAGTCGGTTCCAAGTGTACTGGACGCCCCTCCAAGTACAAGCAAACTGTGACCTGCACTCTGCTGCTAAAGGAATTGAGAAAAATACATCGGCAGTATCAGTTGTGGCATACCACTTGGCTGCCTTTGACTTCAGTTCATACTGAAGTTCTAGCATGTTTGGTATGGCAGCACTCAGTGGTGGTATGACTTCGTTCAGGCCACAATAGTTACTGTTAGTCTCCACTCTCCGTTAGACTTTTGCACTGGCCATATGGGGCTGTTAAAGGGTGGGCAGGTCCTACTGGTCACTCCTTGGTTCTCCAGTCTACAGATCAGCCTACGGATGGGAATCCGGGAGTCTCGGTTGGTGTGATGTTGCCACCAGTGCACTGTTGTGTTAGCAATTGGCACTTGTTGTTCTTTGACCTTCAGCAGCCCCACAACAAAAGGATCCTCTGAGAAACCAGGCAAGGTGGACAGCTACTCAATTTCCTCAGTCTCCAAAGCAGCAATACCAAAAGCCCATTGGTACCCTTTTAGGTCTTTGAAGTACTCTCTCCTGAGGTAGACTATGCTGAGGATGCATGGAGCCTCTGGACCAGTCACAATAGGGTGCTTTTGCCACATATTCCCAGTCAGGTTGGTTTCAGCCTCCAGTATAGTTTAACTCTTGGGATCCTCCTGTCACTCCAGAAATATAAATGGGTTCCACCTCTTGATAGCTTGATGGCAGGATACACTGTACACTGGTATCTAATAGAGCCTTATACTTCTGTGGGACTGATGTGCCAGGCCATCTGCACCACACAGTCCCGTAAATCCTATTGTCCCTTACCTCCACCTGGCTGGAGGCAGGGCCCCTCTAATAGTGATTGCCATACTGGTCACTTACACCTTGTAGAAAGAAAACACATCTTTATCATGGGAGCTGGAGTAAAATCAGCTCTTCCACTCCATCTGGGAAACTACTCACCAGAGACTGAAGCCGCAGCTTTCATGGGATAATCATCCTTGACCTTTGTTCTCCAATTCACGCACCCATTCCTCAAGGGATGACGTAGGTTTTCTGTCCCGCTTCTTCATGTCTTCTCCGTGATCCTGCAGGTAAAATTATAGGGTGGCCTGTGGCATGTACCTCCTATATGTTCTCTCTCCAGCAGTAGGACACCTTTTGTTAATAGCTGAGACGTGTGTTGTCGCACATGGGGAGCTGGATAGATCAGATAGATCGTCTCTCAATTGCTTGAACTCCTGAGACAGCTTTTCCACAGCTGAAATGACGGAAGGGGTGAGATGGTCTTCGAACTTTCAGAGTTGACAGATCACTTTATCCACTGTTGGTGGTACTACGTCATGCCAGGTTATTGATGCCAGTGTGTGGGCATATGATGACGGTGGACTCCATGTAAATTTCTGCCACATGGGTCATGTACATTCGACTTCATCTGGATCTAAAGATGCATCCCCAGCATCTGGCATATGTAGATTGTCTCTGCGATGGCTGATTCCCTCAGAGATCGGATGCTCTGTCACGGTCCAGTTGGCCAAACCACTCATAACATCGTCCTTGTACAGAAACCTTTCTTTCACAGCTGCTAAGAGGCGCCTCCAAAGGCTGATGGACCATGTCTCTTTTGCAGTCGCTTTGTTGATTCCCCCTTCCCTACCTAGCAAATGATCGCAGCTGCTTGGCTTCCCTGTCTTCTAGTTTGTGACCCTCGGCCCCATTGTCCCAGCATCGGAGCAGCCAGGTGATGATGTGCTCCCCTGATTGATGGGTAAAATCTTTCCGCATGTTCTGTAGCTCAGTTGAGGTCCAGGGTCAAGAAGTCACCTCTTCTTCTTCCTCTTCTTCTGATCCACATAATAATAATTCTTGTTCAGATGCTGTCCCATGTAGTTAGTATGTTAGTTTTTCATCTTTCTTCACTGTACAGGTTGCTTTTTGTGCCTCTTGTTTGCTTTTCCCCCTACGTGCAGAGGCAACCAGTATTGGCACAAATTGGTCCTTTGGTTTGGCTGCAGTGATTATCACTGTACTTGGAGTGGCTGCAGTATCTGTCGTCGGGGTTGGTGCAGCCTCTGTGCTTGGGAGTTGCTACTGGCACCAGCAGCTGCACTGCCTGTTGCAGTCAGGGTTTGAGTAGCTGCTGTGCTTGTCACTGGGGTTGGTGTAGTTGCTGTGCTTGGAGTTGGAGTAGCTGTGTTGTCTGTTGCTTTGCTATCAGATCCAGAGACATCTTTTTCTCTTTGAAGGTGCTGGATAGTGTTGAACAGGGCTCTATAAGCATAGGCCAAGCCACAGCACGTCGCCATGATTTGTCCCTCTCTCATATGACCAGGATGACAACACACCTCATTTAAGTGTTCTATTAGTTTTTCTGGATTTTGCACCTGTTCAGTGGTGAAGTTGCAAAGCACTGGAGGGGCCCACTGGCCTGCATACTTGCCCATACGATCCCACACACCCTGCCACTCATGACTGTCCAGCCTCAAGGGAAATATCTTGGGCCTGCTATATCGTCGTGTAACCCTAGACAAGACTCAAATTCAACTCTGCTTAACTTTCAAGATCAGACAAAATGGTTGTGGATAAAACACACTCTGTATGCATGCCAACATGGTGATACCCATCACAATCAGCAGGCAGGTCTCAAGGGTACCCAAACACCATTGAAAACCTTCAGAACACTCAAGTGATGCTGTAAATAGTCTGATGGGGGAGCTGGGGGTGTAAGGGAATGTCTTCATAGGTTGACCACTGAAGGAGGAAAAAAAAGATGTGTAATTGCTAAACACTTCTATTATATACCTCCCAGAGTACAGAGACGATGACCACACTGGGAACGCAAGCCAGATCAGTTTCATGATCAATGAGTCTATTGTATTACAAGTCATTACCGTAAAGTACAATGAAATAAAAACCTTAGCCAAAGCCTCCCAGGCAATAAAGGCTAAAACAGCAAATGATGGCTGTAAGTGAGGTACAACATGCTGAAACTCCAAGATCAAGAGTAACAACTTTGAGAGCCAACAAATCAGCATTGTGATGAGTGGCTATTAATCCGAAACAATGAATGCTTAGCCCAAATAGGATTAGACACACGCTGGTCAGATCTGTTGTTATCTCAACCCTTCGTGCCCCACGTTGGGCATCACAAAGAACTGTCATGGTTTAAGGCCAGCCAGCAACCCAGAACCACATAGTTGCTCTCTCACTGCCCCACTTCCTCCCTGCTTCTCCCAGAGGGATGGGGAGGAGAATCAAAAGAGTGCAATTCCCATGGGTTGAGATAAGAACAGTCCAGTAACTAAGGTATAACACAAACCATTGCTGCTATCACCAATAATAATAATGATAAGGGAAATAACAAGAGGAAAGAATACAACCACTCACCACCCGCCCACTGATACCCTTCTAGCGATCTAGCCCTTCTGGGTAACTGCCCCCAGTTTATATACTGGGCATGACGTGCTGTGGTATGGAATACCTCTTTGGTTAGTTTGGGTCAGGTGTCCTGTCTCTGCTTCCTCCCGGCTCCCCCTGCTCCCTGGCAGAGCGTGAGACCCAGAAAGTCCTTGGTCAGAGTAAACATTACTGAGCACCAACTAAAAACATCGGTGTTATCAGCACTGTTCCCAGGCTGGAAGTCAAAATCACAGCACTGCACCAGCTACTGATAAGGAAAAAATGACTGCTACTGCTGAACCCAGGACAATATTTCATCCTAATGAGAAATTAATAATTTGGAAATCTGGTCTATGGGTTTTCTAAAGGGAAACCTTCCAGATTATGCTAGTATTTAAAATACCATGTTAGTTGTCTTCTCTCTCCCTACCACAACCAATTTTCATGTCCAAATTGCCTTACTTCTGACTTCAAAGCTAGACTCATTCCCTGAAGACATTGGCTGATCTGAGTCGTTCTTTACTTCTCCCATCAGGTACCTGGCAGAATGGATGGTAAACGGGTATCCCTCAGAAAATGTCTGGCCTCTGGATTTGAAACGTTTTGGTACCCTTCAGAGCAGTCGCACTTTCCTCCGTCACCGTGTGATGGAAGTAATGCGTAAGTGAGGTCTTTGCATTCAGTGCTGGCCAGCATATCCAAGATTTTACTCTTTGCTGCTGTCATCACTCGGAGAACCATTTTCCTGCTTCCTGGCCTCCTCTGTGGCAATACAACCTCTTCCCAGGAGGAAGGAAAGGGTAGTGGTTTGGGTTTTTTTTTTGTTAGTGGCATTCTTACTAACTTTTCTCAAGGAAATGCTGTTGGTACCATGTTGTCTTCTATTTCTGTCCCTTGCATCTGCTATGGGTAAATTTTTGCATGTCTGTGTTAAGATCCAGCCTCATAAAATGGTGCCACGGTCTTAAGTGGGAATATTAAACTGTTTCAAACATTGTCATTCGTTGCACATCATTACAGTGTAGAAATACCATCGCTTCCAACTTATGAGTATGTGAAAAGGTTATCTTGCATCGTTCAGGAAGTCTTTGTAAACATATTCTGCTTTCTCCTGCCACAGTTTGTGATAAATACCTTGCAGAACAGATTTGAGATGTCATTCCTGTCTAAAGCCATGCTTGGTTTCCTCTTATTGTTTTATTATCTATCCTGGAAAATGTGGACAGCTTCTTGTCAAGGTTCAAATGAAGTGCTCCACAAACAGCAAAAAAGCAACAATTACCTGAATACTAAGTCAAAACTAAAAATGTGTTCACGTGAAAGCAGAAAAGTTGGGTAAACCGTTAGCCCTGCTAAATGTAGGGAATCAAAACCTTAAGCTTTGACCTTCCTTCCAGAAATACCACTTTATACTGTGGGTGTTATTCTGCAGTTGCTTCCCAGTAGAGATCTCAATTCTGATAGCTAGAGAATCACTCTAATTGTTAGAAGAGAGCTACTGTGTTCCATTTCTGCAGTGGTACATTCCCATTCTAATCTATACTTCCCACTGTTTTCAGGAGTACCAATAACACATAATGGCAGTAAAATAATAAAATCGTTTGCCATGAAGCAAAAACAAGAGAAGTGTTCAGTAAGAAATATTTGGCTTATCTTCGATTTTAAGCAGTTTATAACCTGCCTGGAAACTTAACATTTATCATAGAATCATAGAATAGTTAGGGTTGGAAAGGACCTTAAGATCATCAAGTTCCAACGCCCACTGCCAATGATGGAGCATTCACAGCCTCCCTGGGCAACCTATTCCAGTGCCTCACCACCCTAACAGGAAAGAATTTCCTCCTTATATACGATCTAAACTTCCCCTGTTTAAGTTTTAACCCGTTACCCCCTGTCCTACCACGACAGTCCCTAATGAAGAGTCACTCCCTGGCATCCCTATAGGCCCCCTTATTCAAGCATCCTTGAGTTATTAATCCCCACTGGTAACCAGGGAGGTTGCTAACCATTTATTAGGGTAAATTGCTTTCTAAATAAGAACATTCTGTATTGGCTGAAAAGTTATAGGACCCTTTTCAGTTTGGAAAAACTTAAATAATTAGAAGAGGCTGAACTGTCAATATTTAAGAAGTTGAATTAGATGATCTCTGTAGCTGGGGGCTGCCTACCCCAGCATAAGTGTGTGATACAGTGTGCTGACAGGGAAGAATCATGCATAGTTAATACTAGTTGATATGGCTTCATGAAAAATGGAGAGGTTCTGTTATATTGACAGTGTTTTCCTGAGAACAGAAGTATCTATAAGTAGTCTGTGCAAATACTGCTACTCTGATTTTGAATAGCTGTAAATGGATCAAAACAGATCTGTTGATTTTCAGAGACAGGAGAGGAAAGTCAGAACTGTTTTGAGGGAATTTTATTAATGGTTCAGATATTAGTAAGTATTGATAATCTGGACAAAAAGTTTAGATAAAGATAATAATTTTGCCTAATTATGGATCTTTGTGACCACTGCAGCCCTGATGTGTGATCTGAAAGTTCCCCGCTGGGACTTCCAGACTGGCAGGCAGCTGCGTACCTCACCACTGTACGACCGTCTGGATGCTCAGGGAGCGAGGTGGATGGAGAAGCATGGATTTGAGAGAGTCAAATATTTTGTGCCACCTGGTAATGGTGAGATGACGTTTTCCTCTGCCTTGTGGATCTGTATTGGTCTGTGTAAGTTCTTAGTTCATCCAGTTCATTAATTGTCCCTTTGATTGTTCTTTATATTAGATCTGCTGGATTTGGGTCAGAGCAAGACCTTTTACAAACCAGACTGGTTTGATATTGTGGGTTCTGAAGTTAAGTGCTGTAAGGAAGCGGTTTGTGTCATCGACATGTCATCTTTTACCAAGTTTGAAATAAGTGTAAGTACCTACCAAGTGACAGAATATCAGCCTGGTAAACAGAATGGTTCGGGTTGGAAGGGACCTTAAAGCTCATCCAGTTCCAGCCCCCAGGCAGGGACACATTCCACTAGACCAGGTTGCTCCAAGCCCCTTCCAACCTGGCCTTGAGCACTGCCAGGGATGGGTCAGCCACAGCTTCTCTGAGCTGTGCCAATGTCTCACAAGCCTCACAGGGAAGAACTTCTTCCTAAGATCTCATCTCGGTCTGTCCTTTGTCAGTTCAAAGCCACTCTACCTTGTCCTGTCCAAGGGTCAAGACAGGCCCTTGTCAAAAGCCCCTCTCCAGTTTTCTTGTCAGCCTCTTTAGGCACTGGAAGGCTGCTATATAAGGTCTCCCCAGAGCCTTCTCTGGGCTGAACAAGCCCAGCTCTCTCAGCCTGTCTCTAGAGCAGAGGTACTCCAGCCCTTAGAGCATCTCTGTGACCTCCTCTGGACTTACTCCAACAGCTCCACATCCACATTTATTTTATTATTGACTGCTTTTGCAGAATTCTGTGCATACTGTTGAGGTTAGCTAGAGGAAGTTAAGCTTCATGACCAAATTCAGGATATACCACAATATTTAGCACAGATTGCTTTTTGTCTGTTGAGGGCCCAGTTTATAGAAATACCAGCTTAGTCTATAAATAGAATTTGACCCCAAGCACTATGGCACCATTGTACGCTTCAGACATCACTGTCACTGTTATTACAAATGGAAAAAATTTGGGCCAGGACGTTGATGCCGTCTTAAACTGCCCCAGTAGGTTTGCCCTGCTCAGGCAGCTCATCTGACTTGCTCTCCCTTTCAATTCCTGTAGTCCACAGGAGACGAGGCCCTGGAGAGTCTGCAATATCTCTTCTCCAATGACCTGGATGTACCAGTTGGGCATGTTGTGCATACAGGCATGCTTAATGAGAAAGGAGGTTATGAGAATGACTGCAGCATAGCACGGCTGAGCAAACGCAGGTGGGTATGCAGACAGCGTCTTTATCCATCACCCTTCAGATGTTAGAGCCTTTGAGAACCAGCTAATGAAGATCATAAACTTTTTTGCCATTGTAAATTAAAAAGAAAAGTTGCAGTTTTCCACTTGTATTCGTAATTCAGTAACCCCAGTGAAAGGGACCTCCTAAATTTACAAATATTGTGGAAAACATGCCTTTTTCTGTGACTACAGATGGACAGCATCATTAGGCCTTCAGATGGTTAATTTCTCAATTGAAATGCCAATTGTTTTCAGCAGTCATTAGAGTTTATTAACTTAGGTAATTATTTGAAGTGCAAACCACATGCTTCCTCATGGGCTTCTGGCTAATCTCCTCTTTGGAGCTGCGTGCTGATGCTACTACTTGATTATTTCACTTGTGTTGCAGTACAGGTGCTCTTAATGCTCAGGTCTTCTGTATCTTGTGACTCTTTTTTGTGCACTCTGGTGCAAACACACGTGATCACAGGATCTTACCCTTTGACTCAACAGTTTGGGTTCTCTTTGGAATTTAATAGAAAAATTTTCTTCATGGGGATGTCCCAGCTGAATGTTGGTTTTATTTCTCTGGAGCGTTTTCTATGTGTGCTTTCATTGTGTTTGTGTGAACGCATTCTTCTTTGCTGCTCTTTCAATTAGAAACAGCTTTTCTTTCTCTTCCTCTTCTGTCTGCATTCATGCATTGCTTCTAAGTATTGTTCTTCTCTGTGTGAAACCAGTAGCTTTCCTTCTTGCCTAGTCTTTTCTGCAGATGTTATCTCTGTCAATAATGTACTTTAACTACAGTTTGTGTGAAAGAGAGTTCCACAACAAGTAGCTCATTTTCACATATCAAGCAGAGTTCTTTTTTTGGAAACTGCTAATAATAACCACCATTGTGTGTGACAAGGCTTGGGCTGAAGCAGGAAGTTACTGTGTGAGCCTTGCGCTCTTCTGACTGTTGGAGCAGACAGTCAGCTGGCATGAAGAGCTGTGAATACCTTCTGCAAAATGATTGTGGCTGCTGAGATACTCTGTGAACTTTCTGTAGAACTGCCTCTGTTCCACTTCTAGTCACTTCTTTTCACCAGACTCCTGATAATGCTCAAAGGCCGGGGTTTCTTGTCGTGACAGATGTGGTGGCACTGATCCAGAGACGTTAGCTGTGGTTTTTGTGTGATTCAGTCCTGTTAGCTTGGGAACTGCCAAATGGCTCCAGTAGTTCATGAACAAAAAATTAACGGAATCACCTTGTGGCTGTCCATTCATTGTTTCTTGGGTTTGTCTGTTCCAGCTTCTTCATGATTTCCCCTACTGACCAACAAGTTCATTGCTGGGCCTGGCTGAAGAACCACTTGCCTGATGACAGCAATCTGACCATGGAAGACGTGACCTGGAAATACACAGGCAAGAAATCGCCGAAGGCCGACCTCCTTATACAGACTGAAATCACAAGTGGTGTCCTGTGCTGCCTGTCAGTCAATTGTTAAAGTGTCCAAACTGGTGACTGGGTCTCTTGTCCAAACAGCAAAATGAAAACAGCAATACTGAGGCTTCCTTCTAGCAAGCCATGGGCTGGGAAACAGCTTTCCTTTCCTGTGGACTGTCAGGAGAGAGAGCTTAATGACTGATAAATTTGTCTGGACAGGGTGCTGGGACATCTAGTCTAGGTCATGCTTTGCAAGGAAAGGCTGGATGAGATGATTCTTCAGCATCCCTTCCAACCTGGGATTCTGTAGCTCTTCATTCTTAAATGTAAACTTAACCTATTAGTTTGATAAACGCATAAGACTTTAGAAATTGAGGCATGTGCTTATGCAAGTTAGACACCACACAAGACTTCTATAGTCTCGTCCTAATAGTGTTACCTTCCCCTCTTTAGCTCTCAATCTGATCGGCCCCCGTGCTGTGGATGTCTTGTCAGAGTTGTCATATGCCCCAATAACTCCAGAGCACTTTCCCTCTTTCTTTTGCAAGGTGAGTGAGTGTGTTTCCTTCCTCCTCACCCTGCTAGGCTATGTGAAGCATGTATAGAAGGAGGGGAAGAAAAATATTTTGGATAGTTAGAGGGAAATTTAGATTTATATATGTGTTTACTGCAGTTACTGAGCTAGGCTGGTAATGAACTCACTAGGCTCACTTTAACTACTTCTTTTTGGGTTCTGCCTGCTAAATACATAGATGGATATGCATGTGTTCAGTATTGCACTCACTGTAGGCTTGGTGCCATTTGATTTATTGGCATATTTCATATAATCAATTACAAAGCTGCCAGTCAGACGGGCAGCTGGGATTGGTGTCTCAGGAGTGATTGTCTCCTGTCACGATAAAAAACAGAGCAGATAGCTGCTGTTCAGCTTCTGCCTTTATCTGGAATACAAGCCTGTGTCCTGACCTAGTTCCAAGGCATGTTGCCAAGTGTCATGAAGGGATGAAGAAGTCTGGGTAATGTGACATCACAATTTGAATTTCTAAATTCAGAATTTTTTGCCAGTGTGTGTGGTGAAATACAGTGAGGAAGGGGAAAGAGGGCTGGCCAGTGTGGTTTGTGTTATGCATTGTGCTCCTTCTGGATCTGTGTGCTGTATTCCAGTTTGGATGATTTCACCCTTCTGATTCTGCAGGAGATGAGCGTGGGCTATGCTAATGGCATCCGTGTGATGAGTATCACTCACACAGGAGAACCTGGATTCATGCTTTATATCCCCATAGAGGTAAGAGTATGCTGTAGCCTTAGCAAGGTAAAACAGTCACTTGCATGCATAATCAGAAACACTTCCAGGTTGGCCCAGGGTAAGGAAGCATGAGAAAGCTGCCTGCAGGAGGGGGAGGGGGTGGTTTCCCTGCTTTGTAGGGCATTCCAGTTCGAAAGACCTCTTGTACTCCAGCAGCAGAGCACAGCAACAATCCTGGTGATGTCGAATGCTGTTGCTCTCTCCTGGTGTTAGTTTGCAGCTCTGTGTGTCACCCTTCCTTTGCAGTATGCCCTTCATGTGTACAATGAGGTGATGAACATGGGACAGAAGTACGGGATTCGCAATGCCGGTTATTACGCACTCCGCAGCCTGCGCATTGAGAAGTTCTTTGCATTCTGGGGCCAGGATCTGGATGCTTTTACCACTCCTATGGAGTGTGGACGTGAGTTCCAGGTCAAGCTGGACAAGGTACACCACCATCTCCTGCACTAGAGTGGGTGGGAAGGCAGTACTGAAATGAAGAGGCCTCCATCCACGTAGACAGATGTCATTGTTACTGTGTACAGTGCATAACTGTAACCTGTGTTCTTGTACTTCAGGAATTCGCAAAAATACTAGAAGCATTCTGTCTTCCTCCTTTCTGGACTGCATTCCCAGTGATGGGTGCAGTATTCTGGGTCACTCCTGTGTGTGATGTGCAGTATGCTGGGGGGTGATGCATACTTTACAGATGCTCAGAGTTCATGTTTCTCGCAGTTGTTTTCCCAGTGTGATGAAGCAAAAGCCAGCCTGTGCGCCAGTGGGCATTTAATAATGTTAAATATGAGGACAAGCACCAAGAACAGATGCTTTCTATTTTCACTAAAACAGAGGAGTTCTTTATTTTTACTGAAACATAGAACAGCATAGAGTTTGATCTTCCTTTTGTGGTGGCAGGTGCTGTCACTGTCACTTGCTTATCTGCTTTTTGCATTCTTTGCATGAGCTGAAACAAATGCTTGAATCAGTTCAAGAAAGGAATGCAGTGATTGGGGATATAAATTTCATATGTTGTCACAGTTTCCCTCTGATTTGTAAACCAGGATAGACTTCTGGAACCAGAAAAAATCGCAAAAATTAGAACGGTAATGGGGTTTTTGCTGTGGTAAAAATGAGAATTATTTTTTTAAAGGCACATTTTCACATACATTTTTATGTCTTTTTAACATCTGGAACAATGGACATGACAGGAAAGCTGCTTTCTGAGTGAGCTGTTTGTGTATAGAAGCAGCTTGTCTTGGTAGGGCATAAGCTCCAAGCATAAACTGATCTTGTGTCATTAAACTTTTCTGCTAAAACTCAACAGATGCTACAGTTCATGTTCCTTCCATCAGCTGATGCTTCCTGTTCCCCACAGGGAATGCAGTTTGTTGGCCAGGAAGCGCTGCTGGAACAGAAGCAGAATGGTGTATACAAGCGTTTTACCATGTTCATTCTTGAGGACCATGACACAGATGCAGACCTCTGGCCCTGGTGGGGGGAGCCCATCTTCCGCAATGGCCGCTATGTGGGCAAGACCACCAGCAGTGCCTACAGCTACACTCTGGAGCGCCATGTCTGCCTCGGCTTCGTGCACCACTTTGATGAGAAGACAGGAGAAGAGCTGGTGGTGACAACTGACTTCATCAACCAGGGCGAGTATGAGATCGACATTGCTGGGCACCGCTTCCAGGCCAAAGCCAAGCTTTACCCCTTCAGCTCCTTTTTCACACACCGTCGCCGCAAGGATGAGATGGAACTGAGTGGCTACCAGGGGGAGTAGTCCTGACTAGACTAACCTGCTCCTTTTCCCAGGCTGGTCTTCTCCCACCATCTTCCAGTCCTTTCTCCTCACCCATATATTTCTTTCTTTTCCTTTCTTGTGTTGCAACTTTTAAACTTTTTCCAGTGTGTTAAATTTTGTATATTTTAAAACTTTAATTTTCAAGCTTTCCCAATCCAGTCTGTCTCCATCCTTCAGCCCTCTGCTTGCCAGGCTCTCCTGTGCCCCAGTGGATGAAGCACAGTGGCACAGATGCATCCAGAAGTCCATAGTAAGCCTGTACAGGAGTGAACCCCACCAGAGGCCCTAACCCTGTGGTGATGGGAAGGGTTCAGGTGAACCTTCCTGAGGACTTAAACCCTTCCTATCTCTTGGGAAGTGCAAGTGCAGTGCAAGGCATGAGACAGCAGCTCTTTGCTGCCTGTAGTTCAAATGAATGCTGTGACTTCCCCCTGCTCTCCACATATCACACCGTAGAGGGGTCGCTGCGTCAATGCGCACAGCAGTAGAATGACCTGCTGCCTCACTGGCATGAGACATAGGTTGTGAGAGCAGCAGCCAAGAGTCAGGTTTTGGTAGATTCCAGTTTTAAAGTGTGTTGTTTGTTGTTGGGATTGGATTCTTTGCGTGGGGTCACTGAAGCTTAAATGGCCTTCTATAAATAGAATTGAAGATCAGTATGTGCATTTCACATGTGTAAAGGGATGGGATTTGGTGGGGGGGGGATGTTTTATTAGCAAAAATAGTGATTTCTAACAAGGACAGCTGTTAGTGTTTAATGTTAATAGCATTGTTGAAATGCTGCTTCTGTTTCAGCTGCACAGTGTACAATCAATATGGGGATTTTCTTTTTTCTGTTTATGTGACTTGGTTAAGCTTGTCTGGGAAGGTTCATGTAAAACTTGTGTTGGTTTGGGGAACTTGAGCAGCAGGATGGGACATCTTGTGGTTTTAGCTGCCTGTGGTTATTTTGAAAGTAGAGGGAAAGACCCAGCATTTGTCTCACTTGTGGTGCTAATTTGTAAGAAACCCCAAGAAACCCCAGGTTTTTTTCTGGTGGTGAGAAAGCATCTCAGCAGCTCCTGCTGAACTTGAGAAGTTGTCCTCTATTTGTCTCCTCAAATCTGTTGCGCTTCTTACTACTTTCTCTTGGTAGTACCTCAGCTGAAAGGATTGAACAGAGGGAGTTAAGGAAGTGCAGCAGTGAGATTAAAAATTGCTTTATTTCAGCAAAGGTCTTTGTGTCATGCCTCTTGTACAGATGCTTCGGACAGTGCAGCTGGGACTCACCCCTTCTTCTGGTGTCAAAATGTGCTGATTGAAGCCTGACAGTAAATGGTAGAGAAGTGGGGGGATGCTGAATTGTGTTGTGCACGTTTACATCTTCTCCTTCTTCCCATTGTGAGCACAATCAAAAGCAAGGATTCTTTTTACTTACTTGAAAAGATCTGTTAAACATTTCCTCTGCCACTTGTGAACTCATCATGGTCTTTCTGCTCCAGCATCTTCCTGTCTGAAGTTCAGACACAACCTTGCACTCAGACACAACACTTGCCCTGTCAGCCATGATGAACACTTCGTCTATGACCTAGAAGCTTTTTGGGGCACTTTATTTTCCAGTTAAATGGCATCAGTAGAGTAAGTATGAGCCCAAAACCTTCCCTGGTTCTTTTTTGAAGTTTGCTTGCTGCTACTTGAGTTGCTCCAGGTCATGCTGTCAGTTGAGTCTGTGGTCTGTCTGTTCATGATCTACATTTTCTCAGCATGCGGAAAGAGTCAGATGGCCCTAAGGCAGCAAAAGTGAAAGTCCAAAACCATTACACCTTAAAAACAGGTTGTCAGAGCAAGCTTTCCCATCCAGGGTGACAAATAAGGGTGGAGAGTTGGGAAGGGAATTAAGGGTTTGTTCACATGGTGTATGAGGTAGAACATAAGCGCCATCTCTTCAAGCATGTTCTCCTTTGTGACTGGTGAATTCCTCTGTAGTATGTGACCACTTCAAGGATTTCAAACTTCTTTTTGAATTTACATCCAAAAATTCACTGCTTTCTGAAATGTAGTGATCATAGTAGAACAGATCCTTGAGATCTTGCATCCAGGAATGCTCTGCTTGGCTACTGTAGGCAGAGATTCCACTCAGAATCATAGAATCATAGAATAGTTAGGGTTGGAAAGGACCTTAAGATCATCAAGTTCCAAACCCCCTTCCATGAGCAGGGACACCTCCCACTAAACCATATCACCCAAGGCCTCGTCCAACCTGGCCTTAAACACTGCCAGGGATGGAGCATTCATAACCTCCCTGGACAACCTATTCCAGTGCCTCACCACCCTAACAGGAAAGAATTTCCTCCTTGTATCCAATCTAAACTTCCCCTGTTTAAGTTTTAACCCATTACCCCTTGTCCGACCACTACAGTCCCTAATGAAGAGTGCATCCCCAGCATCCCTATATGCCCCCTTCCACTTGATTGTCATTCCTTCCAAATTCTGCTATTTCTGCTCTTGGCATTGAAATTGCCTGGTGTGTTAGAATTAAACGAAAGGTTCATAAAGCATCTAATAGCAGTTTAAAATCCAGTCACTTCTCACATGTCTTTCCCACATAGATACTGTGAACCCACTATTCCCACAACGGATATGCATACCAAGGAGGATAGTGGGCTCCCTGTTGGTTTTATGGGATGTTGCTGTGCCTTCCCTATCCAGGGAAACAGGTGTTCAACCAAAGAGTTTTATACGTGATGCTTGGGATGAGTCTTCAAGCAGCCTTTCTGACTAGAGTTGATTGACCATTTGCTGCTGCTGAGGCATGATACTTCTCCCAAAGAAGACTACGTACAGTCCTGAGGTGAGCTAAAGTACTCAGTGCAACTCCGGATGAGAGGTTCATTCAGTTTGTTCTCTGCAGAGTTAGAACTAGTTAAGACCAACCTGGAAAGTTACCATGTGTCCTCTACCAACCGCTAGTTCCTGAAGTAGCATTATTTAAGTTGCAGCCAGATTAGATTCCTCTCTGAGATTATTTTTTTCTTTTCCCTGATTTATGGGTGCTTGTTAGTTCCTCAGACAACTTTTGGTACAGGTGTCTCTTCCCCAGCAGTTCTAACCAGAAAAGTGTGGTTTGTGAGCTACTTTTGTCATTATGTCTGGTTAGGTTTATTTTCTGTCTCGATCTTTTGACTTTTCAACACCAAAAATAGAGAATGAAAACAGTTTCCTGCCACATTGATAGATATAGCAACGCGCTCTGAAATGCTGTGTTTGCATTGTGCTAGGTGGTTTGGTAATTGTCAGTCTTGCAGCTCATTAATGCCTGCTCTGGCTTTCCCTGCTTGGAATTCTGATTCTTGTTTTATATCAGAAGCTTTAGTCTTCAGCTGCTGTTCAAGCTTAATTGATTTAATTTCTGGCAGATATTTTTAACCTTACAATGTTAAAGAATTGTTTGCCTTCACCAACTTGAATACTTGAAGGGGACAGTTGGGTAGTGTCTTTTAAAACAGTGCTAGATACTGAGGCTGAGGAAGGTCCATCTAATGTAGTGTTTTCTTCCAGAGGTATTAAACAGTGATGTAAAGCTCTAATCCCTTTATCTGAGGACTAAAAGTAGAGTGCCTAAAAAAGGAACAAAAACAGTTGAAGAGTTACCAACTTTAGTACACCTTTGAAATAGAAATTGGATCTTGAGAGGTGCTGTGACACCATCTTAGCATCTAAGATGTTAAATAACATGGTCTGTAAAGTTACACATCATGATTCTTGCCCTTAAAATGGCCTTAAAATGTTTTCTGCTGAGAAAGGTGGTTTGTTATCATTGTGCATCGTAAGGCAAGGGACATTGGATGGGAAACACCAAAATAGCATCCCCCTCCTCCACAGTGACAGAGGCGATGCCCTCATACTGAACTGAGGCAGCAGCAGTCTGCCCTCGTTTAGGTGTCGTGGGGTTGATGGCAGTTCTTCAAGTCTTGTGATCCAGAATGGGAACAATCCCATAGGTTTTGTTCATGGGAAGTTAATGGAAGTTTAATATGAGAATTTTTTTTTTTTTTTTTTTTTGCTAAAATATCATAGGTTGAGCATCCCTGCTCATTGCAGGGGGGTTGGACTGGATGACCTTTGACAGTCCCTTCCAGCAGAAACCATTCTCTGATTCTATAACCTGTGTTAGGATAAACTTATTGCCCACCAGGGATAAAAGTTAAGGGAAGGTGACCCGGGGGGAGATAGGCCACGAGGGGTGATACGCATTTGGCATGTGTAGGCTTGTTTTTTCTTACCCCAGAAGTCAGCATCTGTGGGAGTTTGCTGGTGTGGCAGTGCTGAGTCCATCTAAATCTATGGCATTCTGATACACTAGGAAGGGCTTTCTTGCCCCAGTGTTACTTGTAGCGTGAGGAACTGTGTAAGAGTTAGCAGCGTCTTCCATTAAATTCCTTTTTCCAGAGGTATTACGTTGTTTTATACTTGTTACGTCTTTCCCTAAGCTCTCATGTTTTGTTAGCCCCTGAACGAGTACTGAGAGGCTTGAGTAAAAGTGCTGTTAAAGGAAGTTGTTCATACTTAATGATCTGGGGATAAAATTAAAGCAGTCTACTTCGGAATGTTTTCTGTTTCAGGAGGGTGTGTTAAAGGGATTTTCACATTTGTATTTGCCAGACTTAATTTCTTGTTTTCTCTGTGTTGACTCCAGTGTCCAAATTTGATATGCCTTGTTGGAAAGTTCCTTCTCATTTTGTGGCAAGGAGGGAAGGTCATGTGAAGCTTCCAGTGCATTTCCAAGTCTTGCTGTAAGCTTGGATTCCTTCTTTCCCCTGCATTCAAGCTGCTGCATATCGTGTTGCTGTGCCTGCAACATCTCCAAACTTAGCCTGTGCTGCTGTAAGATCTCTCATGTGTAGATTCTTCTCTCATTCCACCTGATGCTTCATCGTCTGGACCAGGTTGGCTCTAGCTCTGTCTTTCTGCATTGAATTAGGCTCTTCAGCTTTCAGATAGGGCAGATACCAACATCCAGACTCCCAGGCAGGTTTGTGGCTGCTCTGTGTTCCACCATTTAACACTCCTGATCCCTGTGCCAGGGTTTTCCCACTCTCCTTAATACTTCTGTAATCTCTTTCCTGAGGCAGCTGAGCACATTGGTTCTTTCTGCCCATCAGAGCACAATGCACGGCGAAATAAAAACAGGCAAGGGGGTAGATGGCAGAGTGGCTGAGCTGAGGTGGAAGGAGAGGCGTGATTACGGTTTGATCCTTTGCCAGTTACTCACCCACTTAAGCCCAGCCTTGGAGAGAGGATCAGTCCTGATTCCCAGTTCAGGGAGCATCTTCCTCTGCAGCCTTAGTGCTGGACAAGCTCTGAGAGGCTGCCATGGCCTGGGGCAGATGAGGGACAGTGATGTGAGGAACTGGGAGCAGTGACACAGTTCATTTTCCAGCACACGTTTCCCCCTCATATTTCTTGTGGCAATGAAAGGAATGGTGCTGCACAGGGAGGTAGGGAGTGTGTACCTTCGATTGCTGACAATGTTTGTCTCTCTGGCACATAGAATCATAGAATCAGCAAGGTTGGAAAAGACCTTTAAAATCAAGTCCAGCCATTACCCCAGGACTGCCAGGTAACTGGGAGGGCACAGTGCTGCCATCGCTGCCCCTATCCTTCCAGGGCACTTTAACAAAATGGTCACTTTTTGGGAAGAAATCTATGAAAACAAGGTAGAAGTTTCCACATTTGTGGGAGGGAGTTTGCTTACAGGGCAGAAGTTGTTTTTATTTCAGACAGAAGGCTTGACTGCTGAGAATCCTATAGAATACTGGACTGGTTTGGGTTGGAAGGGGCCCAGTTCAGCCAGTTCCAACCCCCTGCCATGGGCAGGGACACCTTCCACTAGAGCAGGTTGCTCCAAGGCCCATCTAAGCTGGCCTTGAACACTGGGGGGGATTGGGGCAGCCATGGCTTTTCTGGATTTGTCTTCCCAAGTGATTTTATTTCAGTGCTTGGTCAGGTTAATTTCTGCTAATTTCAGGATGCTTTCTGTTTTATACTACCTTTTCCTTAACTGATTGATTGGATCTTTATTTTTAAAAAGCATTCAGTCAGGGAACAGGGCTTTGGGAAGCAGGGGATTGGTGTCAGCAGATGACTTCAATCTGTCTTTAAAAAGCATTCATAAATTTTCTTTGCACTTTAAATTTCCCTTAAGTGTCATGATGGTAGCATGCTTATAGCTCTCAGCAAGCGGAGTCTTTGCATTTGAGAGAGGAAAACCAACTTTAAATATTTGTAGATGCCTTAAAGGTTGAGATTAGGTGTTTGGGCCCTGGTTGTGCCTGTTGTTTGATTTTCCTCCTGGATTGCTGTGTGCTGAGCATGCAGAGCAGGTCCAAACCTTGGCGGGTATTTCTGAGTGTTTGTGGAAGCTGCTGTTGCACTGTGCTGCTGATCTGAGCCTGGAATTCCTACTGAACTCAGCTGAAAGAGCTTGGAGCTCCCGTGCCTGTACAGCTGTCTGGGCTTACACCTTCTCTTTCTCCCCCTCCCCTAGAAATGGATTTATTCACTGTGTCTCTCCAGCTCTAATGGGTGTTCCTGGGGTGGTGTAGAGTACTCTGTGAGTGTCCCATTGCATTAAAGGAAACAGTTCCCTGCTTGAACGTTTCGCTTCTGAATCAGCTGATGTTCGTAGGAGAAGCAGGAGCAGAGGGATTTTCTGCCACCCATAAGGTTTGTGGAGATGGCCTGGAGACTTCCCATCTCCCATTTGTCTCAAAGCTCTGCTGGGCTCCTGATGTCAGACTGGCTCTGAGCTACAGCACAAAACAAAGCGCTGCTTTGCAGGTACGACACGCTACACTGCCAGAGAAGCCACCTAAGCCACGCTTAGGGGAAGGAGCACGTGTGTGCTGTGAGTGCAGCCAGTTCCAGATTGGTGGCAGGCTGATGGTAATGCTTCCAGCATCTTCAGCAGGAGTCAGGGAAAACTTTTTGGTCTAGATGAGCTCCACGCTGCTGCTCCTGAGACAAGACCTTTTCTTTCTGTCTCTTTCTGCTCTGTCCTAGCTGTGTATGTGTGATGGCTTTTGCATACACAGCTGTTACAGGAGCCCTGAATTCTGCAGGAGAAAGTCTCCCTGTTCTTGGAAAAACACCTAGTGCATGTCTCCTGAGAGGAAACTGCCATCTGCACCAGTACCTCCCTTCTCCAGCGTTGCTTGCGGGTATCAATATACCGGTATGTGTCCAAAGCTCCTTCCTGCTCTTACCAGTCTCCAGAGTTTAGAGGGCTTGGAGGACTCCTGAAGTCTGCTGCTGCTGAAGTTTTAAGAACAACTGAAGTTTGAACCTGTGAAAACATTTTCCTAGTGCCTTACGCTTGTGAGTGTTGAGCAATGGATGTAGCTGAGGTGGGACAGAACGAGGAACAACTTCAGTAGCGTCGTTCCCCATTCACTTCAGTCATCTCCCTTTCCCCTTGCAGTGTTGTGGCAGGCAGACAACCACAGATCACCTCTAGCAGCCTGGGGATGCTTTTTTATACTTTCGAGATGTGGGGTTGTAGAAACCTCACGCTGTGTGGTTGCATTTGAGAGGAGTTGTGGTCTCACTTCTGCCAGTCTTGGATTCAAAGGGGTTTGGGAGAGACAAAGCTGCTCTGATGGCTAAACCCCATGGTGGAGGACATGGGCAGCTGTTCCCCAAGCACACAAGTCAGGGTGAGTTTGCTGCTGTCCATTGAGGCCATGTTATATATGCTGTACTTATTTCATGCTTTATTTCATGTTTTGATTGGCCTAAATGTTGCTTGGTTTGTATATTAATAAAGAGGCATTTTAACTACTCCTGAAGTTGGTGGTTTGTTGCGCAGGAGCTTCATGTGTACTTCAGGATCCAAACCCCTGGTTATCTGGATGGGATCCTGCTGGGACTCTGGGCCTGTTGCAGGGTCCAGCCTTTGGGAGCTGAGAGCTGGAGCCTCTGTTTTAGGTTCCAGGGAGGGTCAGGAGAGCCATAGCAGACATGGGTGTAAGTTCTACATCACCTAATGGTGTGCTCTGGCTGGAGCAGTGGTGTCAGGCTCTGCTGCTGGGCAGCTCCTGCTTTGCTGCAAAAGTGTAAATCACAACTGGTGGCTCATGTCCAGGCCTAATGGAGAGGAGAGCAGAGCATCCTCCCAGCCCCACCAATCCTCCTGCTCCCTTTCCCTCCTTTCCTGAAATGAAAGGTGTCCCTGCCTGTGGCAGGGGGTTGGAACTGGATGAGCTTTAAGGTCCCTTCCAACTCAAGCCATCCTCGGATTGAAATGTGGAGTGTCTTGAGCTAAAACACATTTCTAAATCAGTGTCTTGCCTCCCCTCAAGGGTTCTGTTGGAGGTGCCATTGCAGGAATTGCTTCTTGCTGCCCTGTCTGGTATTTGAAGGCTAGTGGGTCCTCAGTCCCACTGTTCTCCACCCCAAACCCATTACCCTGGTACAGACAAAGCAGTGTGTTGGCCTGGCGAGAGCACAGGATACAGGGGACTGCTCTTCCCTCTGTAAATGTGACAATCCTCACAAAGCTGTTCTGTCTTTTTGCCTTTAGAAGATAGAACATGCGGAAAGGAAAGCAACAGAGGGAAGAAAACTGGCTTCGGTGTTGCAGGTTTGCAGGACTCCCGGGGTAACGGTCGGACTTGATGATCTTAAAGGTTTTTTCCAACCTGGTTGATTCTAGGGTTCTATGCAGCCGGCAGGGCTACCAGAAGGAAAACACAGCGCAGTTCTGATGCATGGTTTTTATTGTCTTTTCTTAAAAAAAAAAAAAAAAAAAAAAAAGAGTTGTTTTAAGGTTTTAAGACAGTTGTGTGCAGAAATATCCCATGTACACAGAGGCTACAGGCGAAGGCACCCCCCTGCTCCCAGCCCTATCTCAGAGCTCTGGTGTCTCTCCCCACAGGGTGGGAAGTGATGGGTGCTCCATCAGGCACTGTGTGATGAAGACCAAGCCTGGGCACCTCCTCTCTGCCCACAGCCTCTGCCTGACACCTCCTCTATGTACAGTACAGTGGTATTCATCACAACGGCTCCCTGCCAGCCGTGCAGCATCCTCCTCCTGTGCCTGGCCAGCAGCTGCTGTGCCAGAGAAACAGAAGGTGCAAGTCCTAGCGGGACAGCTTAAATAAACATAATAATTAAAACCCCAAAGGGGGTACGGGAATGAAATCAGCCCAATAAAAATACTGTCAGGGCAGCAAGGAGCCACAAGCAAGCCAGACGCTGGCACTGTGCTGCCAATGCATTTCGTACCTGGGTTTGGTACCCAGTGCCTCCGCTTGCCCTGTGATTGTCTGGCCTGGCCCTGGGCATGGTCAGCCTTGTCACGCTGGATTTGGCCTCTCCAAATGCCATTTGCCTCTCTGTCTGTATGCCCCAGCAGCACGTCCCAGCTGAGAGCCAGCCCTGCACAAGGAGGGAAGCAGTTCTGACTGCCGGATAACTCTGCCAAGCCCCCACCACAGGCAAGGGAGCATGCACAGCCTGGCGCAGCTGACAGGAGGTGGTCAAGGCACTCATTGTTGCTCGTGGTTTTGTGGGTTTGGTTTTCTTCCCCTAAAAAAGGGAGAAACGACCCAGGGAGGTGGAGACTGGGGCTCGCTGCAACCTGTCTCCATGTCACGGGGTTTGAAGCGGGGCTTGGGGCCAGCTCTGGTGGTCACAGGTCATGGATGGGCTGCTTGTGCTTGTGTGGCACCGTTTCTATCAAAACCCACCATGAAACTGAGGGGATCAAAGCCCTGTGGACAGAAAAGATGAATTTCCCCCAGCCCAGGGGATGCTCAGCGCCTGCTCCAGGTGACCCAAACCCTCCTGTTTCACGATTGCAGAGAGAAACCTCAGGAAAAAAAGAAAACTGACACAGAGAAGCAGGGAAGAGGCTGCTGCAGGAAAGCCTGATACAAAAGGGTAAAAAAGGGTAAAATCACAAAGGGTAAAACCCCTATGGTGATTGTTCCTCAAACAGCTATTGCAACCTGGGATCCAGCCCCACAACCCCTCCTCTGTGGGGCTTGTGTCATCACCATGCCAAGCATCAAGAGTGGTCACCAGCTGTGCAGATGGGTCCCTCTCTGTGGTACCTTTTCCATGGTTGCCTTTTTCGTTCCAGCATCTTCTAAAACCACACCAACCTAAACCCAACCCATCTGCCTGGCTGACCCGAATAAAGTGGTTTTGGTTGCATCTTTGGGGAGGCACTTCCCTTCTGCATCTGTCCCATGCCACAGGAAACCCTGGGGACCCTGAGGACAGTGGCTGGACCAGGCTGGTATCAACAAAGTCCCAACTTCATAAACAGAGCAAAGACTTTGGGATTTCAGCTTCTCACCGGAGCTGTCTGTAGCAATGCGAAAGCAAAAGCACAGTTTGTTCACCCACTAAAGCTATCTCTAATCTGTTATTTTTCCCAACCCAAAAGCCAAGGGAAAACTTGTCTCCTCCCCTCTGGTGGGACTGGAGCTGCTGCTGCATTCTGCATCCCTTGAGCATTCTGCAAGCGCTCGCAAAGCCCAGTCCAAGGGCCAGGGCTGCTGTTCCTTTGGGGTTCTTAGCTGCCTTTTGCATGGTCACCCCTGAAATCTGTCCTACCCTCCCTCAGTCCTCAGACAGAGGAGCAGGGGTGACCAGCCCTGGAGCCAGGATTCCTCTCTGTCTCCCAACCTGGCCATGCCAGCAGCCAAGAGCCTGCAGCAGAGCATTGGCTTCCCGTGGCCACCAGCTCCCCGTGGTGGGTCTGTACGATCCAGCTGCACCAGGACCTACTGGACATGTTGGGAGGGAGCCTTCCCTGGGGAAGCAACAGGGGCGGCTGCTCCAGGTGAGTAAAAAAAACCCATATCAAAATAAAGGAAGCAAGAAGCAGCTGTTCCACCAGTGAGGCTGCTGGGCAACCAGGTCTCCCTCAGCCCAGACGCGATGCTCGGGTGCTCCCCAAGGTCAGCCGGCTTTGGTGGTTGGGGTTGTCGTCTTGTTTTAAAAAGAGCAGCATTTGGTTTGACTGTAACGAGACGCAAGGCGGCGGCGGCCGCCATCAGTCACTGATTGTGTTCACAAATCCTTTCTCAGCTGGGTTTCTTAATAATAATAATTAAAAAAGCAGAGGGTCTCCTTTAGCTCTAAACCTGGCTGGCTGCTGAGGCACCGAGCAAGGCCAGGCTGGTTCCAGCAGTGCTCGGGAGAGAGCCGGGAGCCAGGCAGGCTCAGCTCCCCCGGTACACCTCGATCTTGCTGGTTTTGGACAGCATGTCGACGATGTGCGCCTCGAAGTCGGCGTCGTGCACTCCCGTCTTCCTGAACTCCCCGGCGTAGCGGTTGTTCTCCCAGTAATGGTGCCAGTTACCCCGGCTGTCAGCGCCAAACCCGAAGACGTTCACCTGCAGATGTGAGGAGGGGGATGAGCCAGCCATGACCCTCAGTGGGCTGGGGACCCCCCTTGGATAAGCATCCACAGTGCTGCTGGGGGGGGGTATCACACCATACATCCCTCTGTTTGGCCTTTGCACCCTTCAAAGGTGCCCATCAGCACGAGGGTGCCCATCACCGTAGTGTCAGGCAACTGAAGGTAGTGAAACTGCTGCAGTTGGACCCAAAGAAGTCACCTTCCTCCTTATCCCAGCAAGGTTCAGGGTCCCAGCAAACCCAGCCCATGCCAGCCAGGTCCCTGCAGCCCAGAGGAAGACCCCACACACCTCGTCACAGACGTGGAGGGCAAAGAAGAGCACCAGCATGCCGGTGGAGGGGTAGCGCCCGTGGTGCTCCGTCCAGCGGTCGTGGATGTACTTGAAGAAGGCAGGATTGTAGATCTGCACCTGGGAGGACACGCGGGGTTTACTGCTGGAGCCAGGGCTATATTCCCCTTGGCATCAGTACCCTGGGAAGGACCACCAAGGTGTGCACAGGGACCCCAGGAGAAGATGGGGTGAGGGGGGCCATGGCCAAACAGGTGTTCATCGCAGCATAGGAATGAGCCCTCCTTACCTTTTCTTTGTCCACCCGCAGAAAAGGCTTCACAGGTGCGTACGTGCTGGGAAGAAAATGGAGAGGCAGGTGAGCAACCGGAGGCCCCATGTCCTTCACCCCCGAGCTGAGCTACTGGCGGTTGGGATGCTCCGGGAGGAAGGAACCAAGGGAGGAACCCAGAGGAGATGCCCCAGTGGTAGGTGAGTGACCAGCTCAGTGCTGCGGGTGCCAGCCGTGTACTTACAACCTGATCTGGCCGGTGGAGAGGGCACTGGCGATCCAGAGCAGGTCCAGGGTTTTGAAGGGCACCAGCACGAAGCTGACATTAGCAGGCAGGTTCCTGGCACTCTCAGGGTACATGAAGTGGTGTGTGGTCCGACTGCCCACATCACCCTCGAAACCCACCGTGGGTGCCTGGTTCATCCTAGGGAAAGAGCAGGGAAGGTGACACCCCCTTCCCAGCCACCCTGCTCCCTTGCAGATGACATGGGTGTACCCTGTGACCTGCCAAAGGCTGCCAAGGGGCAGTTTCCCAGCCCGCTGATGCTCAGGGTGCTGGGATGAGCTGGTGGTCCCCCCAGCCAGCCCAGGGCAGGTGGCAGGGCTGGATCCACTCCAGCACCCAGCAGAACCCATGCATAACTGAGCAGCTGGAGCAGGGGGAACCCCTTGGAACCTGCAGACCAGGAAAGATGCCGCTGAGGTGCCCAATGGGAACTCAGCACCCACCAGTGCGGCTGGCATCACCTCATGCCTCTGTGCTGGCTGTGGGGCTGAGGGGGTCCCCTGCCCTCACCGCATGATGAAGTCATGCCCGTCGATCTCTGGCCCATAACCGGAGCCACGCAGGTTGCCTGAGTTGCCAACCACAGCGCAGCGACGGCAGTGGCGTGGGTCACGGGAGCGGTAGGGATCCTCGCCTGGCACAATCTGGAAGAGCTTGCTCAGGACCTCATGTGTGTTGTGGGACTTGAACTGGGGCTGCAGCATCTGCGAGGGGTGGAGAAGGGTGCGGGGTCACCAGCCCGTGTCAGACAAAACTCCCCGCGCAGGAGGTGTGGGACACAGATGTCTCCCTGCTCACCAGCCACCACCTCTGGACATCAGGTGGCAGGTCCATGTTGTCCTTGGTCCACACCGGGGACACGGCACCATCGAAGCGCGCATCAAACCAGTCAGCAGCCCCAGCCTCGTCGGCCGGGCAGCGACGGCAAGCGCAGCCCCGGGGGTATGGGCCCCCCTTGCTGAGCCGCTGCATGCCGGCGTAGCCAGGCACCAGCTTCACCCGGTGGATGCCGCCCAGCCCGCCGGGGTCCAGGTAGGCAATGCTGTGGTGGGAGTAGGTGAAGAGGAGGGACATGACGAAGACGAGCAGGAAGGCGGTCGAGAGGAAGCAGAAGCGCAACGAGCACTTCATGGTCAGCGAGCGGCTGAGCCGGGGAGGGCGCCCGCTCCGGCATAGGGCTGGGGCACAGGGTGCAGGATGGCGTCAGCCGGCCAGCTAGAGTCCCTGTGGGATACAGAGCTTCAGTTCACTGCGGCGGAACGGGGGGGACGTGGAGTCCCCAGCAGCCACCACGTTGGGCTCTTACCTGCTGGGCTGCAGCTTTCCATCCGCGTGGTGCAGCTGTGGGGAGAGTATGTGCTGCTGGGTGCGGGGTCCAGCACACTCAGCACACCGGGCTCAGCCACGGCACCATGCCTTGGTGGCAGCTCCAGCTCCAGGTCCTGGTCCTGGCTGGCTTTCAGCTGTGATAGTGCTCATTATTCCCTGCGTTCAGTTGATCTGCTGGCGCACTGCCCACCACCACCGGCTCAGGAACATGGCCACCACGATACCAGCCTGGAGTGGGAAGGAAGGGACGATGTGTCAGGCCTAGGGATGGCGATGCACATGGCGAAGCTGAGGGGTGCACTGAGCAGGAGGAGGGTGCTGGGGGGCCACGGGGTTTGCTAATTCCCATTGAGCTTCGCAAAATGCCACCCAGCCCATCCCCAGAGGAGACAAGCTGGTGTGAAGCGAACAGATGCTCCTCGCTAGCAGCACCGGGGGAGCTCCCAGGCTGTGCCCTCCCCCTCTCTGCCAGACAGAGGTTGAACCATGAGTTCACCTCTGGAGCTGTACAAGTGGCTCCTTGCTGAGGCTCAGTCCTTCTCCACCACCAGGCCACAAGCAGCCCCTCCAAACCCCTCTTCACCAGCTGCTGCTGCTGTCGACAGGCAACAGCCGTGTCACAGCCCCACGGGGGCCCTACGGGTACCAACACCACTGTCCGCTGTTCCCCCCATGTGGCAGTGTCCCTCGGGAAAGGTCACTGTGGAGGCTTGTGATCCCAACGGTTAAAAATAGCTGGGGCAGAGGTGCTGGTGCCTGCACCAGGGGAGGAGCGGGGGAGGCAGAGCCAGACCCTCCTCAGCCAGAAACCCACAAAATAGCTGAAAATCCCCTTTTAAGACAGCTGCTGAGCTGCGGCGGGGTCCATCACCCCGAAAAGGGGAGGAAGATGCCAGGGCAGGACCCCCCCATGGCAGCATCGCCTCCAAAGCTCAGCACTGGCCCCAGTTAGGACAGTGCAGAGGCCAGCAGCACCGATTAGGACCTAGCAGGCACCAGGATGCTTCTTTCCTATAAAAAGACATCCTATGCAAGATCACAGATTTCTTGTCAGGGTTGGAGGCTGCTGAGCACCCCCAAAAGCTCCTTGCTGGGATGGGCAAGACATAAGCATGGCCCAAAAAACCCAACCCCCCCAGCCCATCACACAGACAGCTCCTGCCCAGATCATTATGAACCCACAGTCAAGTGTCTGTCCAAGGGATGACAGCTTTTACAGAGACAGACAATAGGTGCGCGTCCCTGGCATGATTGTTGTCCAAGTCTCTTCCCTGTCTCCAGGGGTATTTAATGTCTCTGTGGGACACACACAGCGCACAAGTGACTGCAACGAGGTTTTGGGCTGCTGCCAGTGGAAAACGCAGGGGTGTTTGTTAACGGAGGGTTACATCAAGGGGCATTTGGGACAAAGCCAGTCAAAAGCTCTATATCCCCTGCAGATGCACCACGCTGGAAGGTTTTGGAGGCAAATGCCAATTTTGGGCTCTTTTTAGCTGTGCCATGGCAGGGACGCCAAGCAGGATGGGCTGATCCCCCTTCCCCTGCTGCCGCTGCTCTACATCCCATGGGGCTTCATAAAGGCTGAAGGAAATCAGCCATCACGTGCTTGTGGTATTTTTGTTCCTGGTGAAAGGGGGAAAACTCCCTTTCCGGCTCCTCAGCCCAGCTGCGTCCTGCCTGCCACATCCTGGCATCTGGAGCACGTTTTGTCTTGGGCCTCCCAGACCTGCCCCCAGTGGGAAACCATCCTCCAGCCCAGCACCCTGAAATCCCAGCGGCTTGTTTGAGTCATCCATTCCCCAGCAGGCGCTGGTGGCTGCTGCCATCTGCACCGGTCCTTACAGACCCCAGCAGGGACACAGCACCTACACATCCAGTCATACCCCAGCATTAACCGTACCACCGCTGCCAGCTCCCAAAACCCAACCCAACCTGTCACTGCCAAATGAAACCCCACTGACCAGGGGCAGTATTCTTAAGGGTATTCTTAAAATAACAGAGAATTTGGGGACTTGTTCTGTGGTGAGTGAGCCCAGCAGCTCAGCAATACCGCTAAATGTCCTCTCGCTCCCAAATTCATCCCCAGGTCTCCTTAAATGCCTCCTGAAGACCAAGGGCTCATCAAACACGAGTTTCTCTTTGATGGCAAGACATAATGAAGCAAGGCTATTAAAAGGGCCCGCTGCTTTTACAGTTGGATGATTTTTTCCCATCATATCATCTTTCCTTTTGGGATGTATAAGGCTTAATTTCAGGATGAATTCTGGAGAAAGGTGACTGACAGCCCAGGGGCCTGGAGGATGTCTTCCCCTTCCCCTCGGTTGTAACACCACTGAGCACATCCCCAAGCCGGCTTTCTTTTAGGTCTTTTCGTCTTTTTGTCTCATTTCTAAGATATCCTGAGGCTGTTGCACTGACTTCCTTGCTGGTAAGCGACAGGGTGGGCACAGGAAGGAGCTGTCCCCAGGAGACAGGGGTCACCCTGCCTGGGGCCGGTGAGAAGAGGCACAGAGGAGCAGAGGCAGCATTGCCCACACCGGCTGCTGCTCCACAAAGGCATGCTGGGGCTGGGAATTCCCTCCAGGAGTCATCAGGAAACACATCCCTGAGTATCCAGGTGCCACCCTTCCCACAGCCCCTTTGCAGGGATGTCACCTCTGCCACTGCCAAACCAGTGACCGGGTGCTGGAGCTGTGCCTGGCTTCTGTAGGTGGAAGAGGGGGCAGTGTGTGGGGATGGCTCCGCCTCGGACCAGCATTCCTTTTGCTGTCATGGATGGAAAAAATGAGATTTAGCGATTTTTTTACTTTAACAGGAAGGGAATTGAATCTTCTCCTTCAGCCCCAGGAGGAAATACAAAGTCATGATCCGTCCTTGTTCCAGGCCTGGCTTCAGCAAGCAGAATTACTACAAAAACTCAAAACCCCTCAAATTCACTTTTTTTCCACAGCCCAACTGGCTGCCCAAGGTCGCAGCCCCCCCCCCCCCTCGGCGCTGCTTTAGCTGGGGCCGTCAGCTCATGTTAGCTTGGAATGGTGACCAAGAATCTGCCGGAGGCAGCATGGGAAGGGGCAATGCTCCTGTCCTTCTGCATCAGTTGGCTTCCAAATCCAAACTGAGACCCAGCAAGAAAAGCATGGTTAATTAAATACGTCCTTTCCTGCACTGTTCACCCAGAGGGATCATAATTTTCCCCTTTATCCTTTTTTTTTTCCGCTCTGGAAGGTGGATGGGAAAGGAAGCAAGCCCAGTGTTGGTGCTTTTTCTCCCTGTTAAGTGATGCCACAAAGGGCTGATGGCACCAGGGATTAACAGGAGAAGCCAATTTCATGGGTTAAGCCATCGCCACCACCTGACAGCAGTAAGGACCAGGTAACTTATTCTTTATCCTTTTAATTAATCATACTCTTATCAGCCAGCTCAATCAGCTAATGGAGCCCAGTTAATTGGTTGCTGGCCGTGGCAGCAATTCCAGGGTTTCCTCGTGCCCAGCATCCGGAGAGGTTATTTCAGGCTCATCCCTCAGCACTGGGATGAGGCCAGGAAAGAGCCTGGGAGGCCAAATACTCTGCATGGAGCTGGGACAGAGCCAACTGCTGGTGAGGTCGTTTCCTATGGGATTTGGGGGTGCAGGGGAGGTGCCAGCAGTGGGAAAGCTCAGAAAGGGATGCTCCCACCCTTGTGGTTGGAAGGGGCTTGCAACATCCCTGCACTCCAGGGTGGTTGATAAGCCCAAGGCCGCGCTCTCCATGTGGCCTCATTATGCCCAGGTCGCTGCACTGGAGGCAGAGGACAGGAAGTCCCTGCTCAGTTTGATGCAGTGGAGAAACTGCCCTCCCCCGGCCTCGAATGCGTGCAGGGCCAGCCCTGCTGCCCTGCACCCCCAGGCACCTACTCCGGAGCCCCCGGTTTGCACCAGCTGCCTCACTGCTGGGTACTACCGACCTGGGTACCAGCAATCCACCAGGTCACATACCACCAGGTCGGGTACCACCAAGCCACCAGGTTGTGTACCACCACCACATCAGATACCACTGGTCTGGGCACCATCGAGCTGAGTCACACTGAGCACCCAGGCTCAGGCTGGCTAGCAGATGGGGTGGCCAGCGAGCCCCAGCAAGAGCAGAGGAGGCAGAGCCTGGTGCTCACCACCACCCACTGCTTCCTCTCCTTCATCCTCCCTCCAGCTCCCCATGCAAAGCACTCCAGAGACACCCCCAAATTGGTCTCCCCCTGTCCTCAGCCACCTGGAAGGATGTGGCACACTGCAGCAGGCATGGTCCCCAGCAAGGGCAGACTCCTGCTCCCCTTCATCACCAGCACCCAGCAGGGGGGAACTGCTCCCCCTCCACTGTTACAGCACATTTTCCCCAGCCATAAGGCTCATGATCCATGCCTCACCGGGAAAAAATGTGCAGGAGTGCAGGATGGGCCAACACCAGGCTGGGGAGCTGACTCCAGCCATGGCCTTTTGCCCAGGGAAGGCAAGCAGGGATGTGAGGCCCCCACTGCATCCCTCTCCCTGGAGCTCAGCAGCTCCAAGGATGGGAAGCGGTGGAAACCCGAAGGCTTTGAGGTCCGGTTGATGGGTGCTGTGACTGAAAGCTCCCTTTCTCCCGCAGGACACAGCCCAAGCAGAGAACTGCAACCTGCTTTGCTTGTGGGCAGGGCTGAGAGGACCTTGAACTTGTTAGTAAAATTGTACCTAGGAGATTTTATCACAAGGATGTTAGGAAAGGCTCCATCATCGATCCCAGGACAGACCAGCAACTGCCAGGGGCTCCCATTAGGTGTAAAATAAGAGCAGGACCCAGTGAGGGAACCCAGCTTCTCCTCCCTGCTAGCCAGGGCTCTGCTTGGATGCTTAGAAGAAGGAGCATTTGCATATGCCTAATTAGCCCAATTATGGCTGCAGATCAAAGGTCCTTTGCTGGGGACATGGTGGCACCCATGGCAAAGTGCCTGCCCCTTGCTCTGGTTTTCCAAGAGTTACTGTCACTGGCGTTACTTTAGAGCCCCATCACTGAAAGGAAAAAATACAGATTATATATATTTGTTATTAAACATGTTACATACGTTTACATGTATTCACCATTCATCCGTATGTGGTTTGGGGAGCATCTCTGGGGGCTCTGCCACAGACCCAAGGCCCACATTTCTTGCAATCTCCAAAAAAATCTTTCGGGACGTGCCAATGGCAAAGGGGAACTTGGAGCTGAGAGATCCCCTGGAGCCCAAGACGGAGCTTCACAGCCTCTCCCACTACATCCCAGGCCCTCAGGGACCAGCAGGCTCTGATAAATCACAGCTCATTGGGAAGCACTAAAGCCAGCCCAGCCACTGGAGAGCAATTAGCAGTTTGCACTCTTGCAAGAATTAAATGCAGCGGGAGGAGATGAAAGCCATTAAGCCGCTGGAACCTTGGCATGGGCCAAGCTGGGGCGGCATCTGAAGTGCCAAGAGCCGTCGGGAAAACCATTTCGCCCTTGAAGCCACCAGTGCCTTTGGCCAAAAAGTGCCAGTCTGGAGTTGTTTGGGCAAGAAAATTCAAGCCCAAGTCAGTTCACCCAGTGTGTGGTTGCCAGGGCTCTCCTCTCCTGCCTGTTCTCCTCTCCCTGCCTGACTCCAGCGCCAGTGAGACGTGGGCGAGCAAGCAGAGCGCGTCTTGCCATTCCCAAGAACCGCCATGAGCTCCTTGGAGGAGAGGGAAAGGCTTTTGACAGGCAGCTGCTGCAGGCAACCGGCAGCGGGGCTGCTGCTCACTGCCAGATGGGGACAGACAGACAGACAGACAGGCACGCGCATGGTGGGTTGCAGGGGACGGCAGCTTCCTCTTCCCGCCCCAAGCATCACTGCTGCAGACGCAACATCTGGCTCTAATAAAAGGGGAAGAAAAAGGCAAACCAAGCCCAAAGCGCTGAGCAACTTCCTGTCACAGCTCACTGCCTCGGGATGGCTGGGATGTAGCCAGTGCTGCTGCTCAGGGCCATGCTGGAAAAGGGGAGATCCGCAGATAACGGAGAGCAAAACTACCTCCACCAGCATGGAGCCCACACATCCTCCTGGAGGGAAACACTGCAAGTTTGGGGGCTCTGAGGTTATTTGGTTTCACTCAGCCATGTTTTTCCCTTATTCACAGAAAGAGGGGACGTGGCCCTTTGTCCAGTCCAAGCTTCCTCACTGCCCAAGCACCCTCCTCATACCCCAAAATCCTCCTGCTGGCATGGGGAGTCCTCGCTCTGGGGAAATATCTGGGAACTTTGTAATAAACGCTCTGGCTTCACAGCTGGAGCCCCAGCAAAACCTCACCTTCTCAGCAGCACCCAAGCCCCCAGCGTGCATGGGGACCCCTTGCATCCCCAGGCCCTGAAAGCTCAGCTCCAGCGCCCCAAGAGCCGTCCTTTGGCCGGGGAGACATCTCTAACCCCGGCGGGTTGGAGGCTGACCGGCTCCCAGCCTGGCACCGCCACCCCGCAGACACAGCCGCAAGCAGGGGACATGTTCCTGCTCGGTGACATAGTTTCCAACCCTGTCCCCAGGGCCGCTCGCGCTGTGTTTGTGAAATACTGGCTGCCACTACCCCGGCGAGGACGCCGTATGTCACGCAGCCATGTGTCACCCTGCTGCTGAGGGACCTCACATGCACACTGTCACTGCTGGGGACTGGGGGCACCCTCAGACAGCCTCCCCCCTTACTCCGGTCCCCGCTGTAGCCACCCCAGCTCTGCCCCCAGCACCCCCCACCGGGGTGCGTGCCCTGCGCAGCACCCCAGGACACTCGGCTGGAGAGGGCCAGCTCCCCGGGGAGCACCCCCAGCCCCGACCCCCCATTCCAGGGCCAAGCATCCTCCGCGGGGCTGGCACCGCGGGGCCCGGGCCAGCACATCCTCGCCGGGGCCGATCCCAGTACATCCCGGGTGCGTGCTCCCCAGCAACGGGGCAGCTCCCGGCCACCCCTCCCCGGCGCACCCCGCGATTCCCCGGGCCCGCTCTCCGCCGCTGTACCTGGCTCGGCTCCTGCACGGCCCCGACTCCGGGCGCACCCGGGCCCCTCCGCCGCCGCTACAGACGCTGCTGCCGGCCCCTCGTTCGGCGCCGCACCCTCCGCGCCGCGAGGGGCCGTGCGGGGCCGGGCCGTGCGGGGCCGGGCCGGGCCGTGCCGTGCCGCGCCGTGCGGGGCGGGGGATCTGGCCCGGCAGCCTGGGAGATGTAGTCCGCGGCCGCCCGGGGGGCTTGTGGGACTTGTAGGAGGAGAGCCCACCCGGCCCACCGGCACCTCTGGTGTCTGTCCCGGTGCACTGCCCGGCGCATCGGCAACCCCCGGTATAACCTCCCGGTACCCACCGGCGCATCGCAACCCCCCCGGCATCCATCCTGGTATCCACCCGGCTCGTCGGCGTCCGTGGACGCCCTGTACCCCTCCCTGGTACCCACCCCCGTACCCACCCCGACACATCAGCACCTCCTGGTACCCACCCCCGCACATCGGCACCCCTCGGTGTCCATCCCGCTACCATTCCCCCATCCCCATGCCAGTACCCACCCGACACATCAGCACTCCCCAGTACCCACGCCTGCACACACGGGGCACCCACCAGCAGCGCACCCCCCCACCCCACCCCCCCCAATACCCTAGGGCATCCACCCCGGGGCGCTCATCAGCACCCACTGCTGGTACCCTGCTCGCCACAGGGGAGCCGAGCTGAGTCCGGGCGCGCTCGTGACCCAGGTGACACAGGGCACTTAGGGGTGCGAGCCGCCGCCGGCTGAGGGGGCCTTTTTGGGGCAGAAAACGTAAAAACCCCCATGATCCCTCTGAAACCCCCCTAGGGGCGGGGGGGAGACACTACAGCGCCGGGGCAGGGGTACACTGTACCTTTAAGTAGCCAGGGCCTGTCCCTGCGCGCAGTGCACGCTGGAAGATGTAGTCTCTCACCGCTGGCCTTCCGCAGAGAGTGTTGGCGTCCTGGACTACATCTCCCAGCGTGCACCGCGGAGCAGCGCAAGGTGCGGTGCAGCCATGGCGGTGGAGTGGAGCGTCCTCGTCCTCACCTGTCAGCGCGGCGGCTGTGTGTCGGCTTTCCAGCGAGGCAAGCGGCGGGGTTGGCGCTCGTCCTCTCCCCGCGGGCCGAGCGGGGAGGAGCGGGAGGTGCCAGCTCTCAGCGCCGCCCGCCTCTCGGTTGGCAGAGCTGGAGATACGCCGACTGAGGGGCGGCCTGGGTCCGCGGCCCCCGCCGCTGCTCCTGGCCGTGGAGGACCCATGGGCCCGCCTGGGCAGCGGCGGGGCCACCCTCAATGCCTTGCTGGTGGCGGCCGAGCACCTCAGCGCCCGGGCGGGCTGCACGGTGAGGGGCGTTCCCCGGCAGGGGGAGCGGGGTGCAGCCTTTGGAGGGGCCGGGGAGGCTGCAGCAGGGTGGGGAAATGGGTGGCTTTCCTGTCCCCAGTGACTGTTCTCTGCACTGGTCTCCCAGGTGGTGACCTCCGATGTCCTGAAGGAAGCCCACATCCTCATTCTGCACACGGTGAGAGCCGGCCTGCAGCCCAACTTGAAACGCTCCATAGCACCCTCTTCCTCCCTGTCACAACCACTGCGTTCCCCTTCCCACCAGGGCCGTGACTTCTCCTTCGATGACTGTGGCCGGGCCTTCACCTGCCTGCCTGTGGAGGAGCCCGGTGCTGCGGTTGAAGCTCTTACTTGCAACCTGGACAGCCTGCTGGGGACCATGACACACCGGGTCTGTGTGGCCTGTGGAACGGGGTTCTGGGCTAGTGCTGTGCAATGCTAGGCACCCGGGTGTGGGGGCTGAAGCCTTCGGGGTGCCTTCAGCTGGCTCCCAGCAGGGTGGGAAGGGTGTGAGGGTCGAGCCCCTTCCCTGCTCTCCCTGGGCATGTGGCCCTTGTCTCAGCAGCTCTGTGTGGGCTCCCCGCCCGGCGTGTGGGTCTGCAGCACCGACATGCTCCTCACCGTGCCCTCAGCACCAGGTAAGTGGTGCCAGCCTTTCCTCCAGCACGCGCTTTGCTTTGGGACAGGGGGCAGAGCCTGTAGCACAGCTGGTCCAGCCTGCAGTATGCTCCCATGAGTGTGTGGATGCTTGGGCATTGCAAACGCATGTACAGTTGGAGCATCTGTCATGCCCAAAGCAAGGTGGCCAAGGCTGAACACTGCTTTCATCTTCTCTGCCATACGCCCTGTTTTCAGGCAGTTGGGCCTCGGGCAGGTATGTGTGCTGCCCCAGTGGATGCTGCTCTGTGTCCCTCTCCTCAGGGATCGACTGGGATGGCCTCCAGGGTGTCAGAGTAATTGCAGTGCCCGGGAGCCAGGCATATGCCAGGAACCATGGGGTCTACCTCACTGATGAGCAGGTCAGTAGCAGCTCTTCCTCCAAAGGGTGCCCTTGGAGGCACAGGGGTCCCTACCCTTCCAGTGCCTTGGGTGCTGAGGTCCCAGCCCTGCTGTGGCTGCTTAGCTTGGGGCTCCCTGAAAAGCTCATTGTGGTAGTCTCATTCCCAGGGGCTGGTGCACAACATCATCTACAAAGGCACAGAGGCCCAGATCCAGCAGTGTGCAGGGCCTGACGGCACTGTCCCACTGGTAGGGCATGACTTGGGCATTGGTGGCCTTGCCAGCCTTGTCCCTTGTGTCACCATGGCTGCAGCCTCAGCCCTGCTGTGCCCTCGCAGGTGTGCGGGGTGGTTTTCTTCTCCTCAGATGCTGCCGAGCAACTTCTGGCCACCCATGTCATCCCTCCTCTGGATGCCTGCACGTACATGGGACTGGACTCGGGGGCACCACCCATCCAGGTGACAGCCCCTCTGCGGAGGACAGGACTCCTTACCCCATGGGTGCTGCTGCTGGGCATCTCTTTAGGGTACTTTGCCCTCTAGGGCTTCTGCCCCCCACACCACACCAAATTTGGGTGGGAGAGGTGGTAGGAGGGGAGCACCCAGCAGCAGGGTGGGGGTCAGGGTGGCTGCACCCAACAGGTCCCTTCTCTCCCCAGCTCTCCCTCTTCTTTGACATTGTGCTGTGCATGGCAAGGGGGGTGACAGAGCAGGATTTTGTGAAGGGTGGTGGTGACACCAGTGTGAGGAATGCCCGCGCCGTGCTGTGGGCAGCTCTCCATGCCTTCCCACTTAGCATGGGTAAGTGATGCTGCAGTGGTGCACTGACATGACCCATACCTGACCCCCCTTCCCCTCTGTGGGGAGAAATGGCATGGTCAGGGCCTGGCTCTTTCTCCCCACAGCTGCAGGTCCCTGGGTCTTTTCTGTCCCCCTTTGACTGGGGGTATGTTCAGCCTGGCTGTCCTTGGCTCACACGGGTGTTGGGCACAGCCACATTTGCTGTTGGTGTGCTGAGAGCTTTCCTGTCCCTCACAGCCTGCATTCCCAATGCGTCCTATGACTACATGACCACCTCTGCGAGCGACCACATCCGCAGCCTGACGCTCCTGCCCAGCTCTGCCAGCCACCTCTGCTTCTGCAAAACAGCCCATTCCCATGTGGATGTATGTCCTTCCACCCCCATCCTTGCTCACACATGTTCTGGTGGTTGCTCTGGGCTAGGACCCGGTCCCACGTGCCTCTGTGTCCTTGGCAGCAGCCCTGTCTCCTGGAGGATGGCTCTTCGGTCACCAACTGCTTGCTGGAAGGAGCCGTGCGGCTGGCAGCTGGCAGCGTCATCCAGCACTGTCACCTCCAGGTACATGGCTACGATGGGAGTGACTCCCAAGTTCTCAGTACACTGGATGGGCAGCAGAGTGAGGTGGCCCTGGCTGGGGTGTGGGACCCACAGCTATGAGATTTGGGGTGCCCTTTGTCTTTGGGGCTGCCTTTCAGGTGGTGCTTGGGACCCTGGTGGTTGTTGCCCTCCCCAGGCACAGGGACCAGGTCACCCCTGGCCTGTCCCTCCCTAGGAACCAGGGCAAATCCTCTGTCATGGCTGCAAGCCTTGGCCTGAGCTTCTGCAGTTCGTGTCCCTGCAGCCCCACAAGAAAGCAAACTGTGTCCCTCTGGCACCTAGCTCCTGCTGGCCCCAGCTTATCTCCCAGGGTGTTTTCCCCTTTGATGTTGGGATCTGGCTCCAGTTTGGGGTCTCAGGGCCCTGCTGCCTCTTCACAGGGTCCCCTGGAGATTGGTCCTGGCTGCCTGCTTTCTGGCCTCGCTGTAGGCTCCTCGCCAGCCCTGCAGGGCTTTCCCCTACGTGACGTCGTTCTGCAGGGCCACCATGTGCAGCTGCGTGATCTGTCCTGCTGCGTGTTTACTCTCACTGGCCGCCTTGATGACTGGCAGGTACAAGGGTGTCAAGGTGGTGAGAGTCTCCCCTCAAAGCCAGTGTGTAACCAGCTGCTCCATCCCTCTGCAGAGCCCGGCTGAAAGGGCCACCTACCTGAACATGCCCTGGGCTGAGTTTTTCCATCGGACAGGCATACGGTAGGTGCCATGTGCCAGGATGGGACAGAAGACCTGGCTCCCCTGGGGGTGGCTGCAATGGGGAGGTGTCACGGCCACCTCAACCCATCCTGCATTCTGGCTGCCCTCTGGAAGCTATCCTCGAGGCCCAGGGTGGTGCTGATGGGCTCTCCCTCCATCAGGGAAGGGGACCTTTGGGATGCTGAGACGCCACAGGGGAGCCGCTGCCTGCTGAACGCCCGTCTCTTCCCAGTGCTGCATGCCCACGAGGCACTGGGGCTGGAGGACGTGCTGTGGCTGCTGGCCCCAGTGGCTGGCGAGCGGCTGGCACGCTGGCGGGCGGCCTGGCGCATGTCCTGGCAGGAGCTGCTGCCCTGCCTGGACAAGGCAGCCGAGCTGGGTGCCCGCCAGGCCCTCTTCTTCCTGCAGGGCCAGCACAAGGTGCGGCGCGTGCTGCTGGGACGCAAGGACAGCAGCCTCTTGCCCCTAGCCCGCAGTGCTGTCCATGAGGGCTACCATGAGGCTGTGCTGGGCACGCTGGATGAGGGTGAGCTGGACTCACATGAGCTGTGTATTGCATCTCTGGGTGTCATGGCTGTTTGGTGCTCCCCACCCTCTCCAGTGACACTGACACCCATGTCATTGCCAT